CAGCGGACCTTCTGTGCCTACCGTCGTTATGTCATTACCAAGAACACCCTTTACTCGTAAACCTCCCTTCTTTACGACTGCTTTATGATCTACCCCCCAAGGTATGGCTGCAAGAGACATTACTGAAGTTTCATTAAAGTGCGGAGGCAGTAGGTACTATGCAGTAGCCAGGGGAGGGGTTGATCGGCAATCAAAACTGGTAATGACGGTCAGGAGGCTGGTTCATTTGGCCCCTCATCGGCTTGAAGTTGTACATTTAATATTAAAATTCAAATAATATGCCCTAAAAACACCCCAGGAAACTTTTGACTTCAGTTCTTAACTGCAGGCGGCTATATACTTATCTCCTTCCTAAAACACTTTAGCTAACATAGTAATCATTTTTCTTTTATTTTGTGCCAATTAAACTACTTTAGACCAATATCAGCATAGGTAAATAACTTTTGTTTAAATCTAAAAATAGCTCTTCTTTTTTTCTTTCTTTCCAAATTTTTCCCCATGTTCTGCTGAATTTGCTTTTAAGTCTGTGAGGGTACTAATTAAAATTTAAGCCTTTTGAATCAAGCTTTGAGCATCGTCGTTTCATAAAATCGTTCCTTTCATTGGTATTGGATCCATGTCAGACGCCTATAGCGATTGATAAAGTTTTGACACCAATTTTGTGATTTTAAAAGTACAACCCACACGATGTAAACTTAATCTCAAAACTTGCAACATGACGAGACAAACCACGTATATCGTGGGAAATCGCTCGAAGGCAACCACAAATAAATGTCGTTTATCAACTCGATTCGCTTTCGAATCGCTGCATTACGTCAAATCGCATCGTTCTCGCGACACGCGCATGATCGCGGGCCGCGGCGTTATCGCGCGCCAGCGGCGACGGCTCATGATCACACACAGGGCTGTCAAATTGGATTCAAAGTCAAAGTTTCTTTATTTGTAGAGGTTATTTAAATAGTACTTATAAATCGTCAAATATGTTGCTCTTAATGAGCCTCTACATGTCTCCTAATCTCTTTACCCTACCAGCGCTTCGAGACTAACATTTGGCAAGTGCTGAGAAGAAGCGCCGATTTCTAATATGTAGTAACCCTTGGTACATCAAGCTAAACGCTCTGGCATCTTATTTGGTTATGGTAAGCGTGATTTGCAACAAAAATGTAGAGTCTGATATACTTAGGTCATTTTCAGGGCAGGGATATCGCTTGCTCTAGCACCACTTCGCGACAAGATGGTCGGCCGGTGCTAAAGAAACGGAATAATTTTGAAAGTGGTGATAGAAACAACGAGACAACTCGATCTTATACACGGCAGCACGTCAAGATAAACTCAGAGAATACCTACATAGATACCTACTTATTGTAGTCGTTTTAGGTGGTTTTTTAGAACCAAAATTTATATTCTGATGTATGCTAAAAACATTATAAGCTCGCGTATACATAGGTCTGTCTTTTTCAGCCTGAAACTTGACTATGCCACAACACAACCAATGAAATTGTGGCATCCCTGATCCCATATCAGCATTCAGGCCGATCCCGATTTTATGGCCTTATTGACTCCCTTAGGACTGATCCCGCCATTTCCGGCAATTGAGCCGACTCTATCGTTTTTAGATTTCTTTTATTCGGTAGAGTCAACCCCGAGAATCCCGAAATGCAGGGTATCAATAAATAAAATATCCAGCCCGCGGCTTTGCTTGGATTTGGGTTGTTTTCAGTAGATATTGGGCGCGAACCATCGCTAAAGTAAATCTCTATTATTAAAAGTGAGTTTTTATTTCCATTTTCACATTTATTGAAAGTGAAACTAACGAAAAGTAATTTAAAAAAATATATGTCTGTAACTGAGGTTTTTTACTCATAAGTTACAGACATAGAGCAAAGTAATATAGTTACAGACATCTTAAATAATGGCAAAGATTTTTAATGTAATCATTTTCATACAAGAATAAGTCGATAATCTTTAGTCTTTCAGTTTACCTTTACTTTCATAAAGATACATAATTGTTTAGGATGCCTAACAGCTTGTTTAGCGAACACAAAGATTTCTTCGAAACTTAATTTGAAGAGTTAGCGAGTCTGAGGGACTAAAGGCAGTTTAATTGTCCCCTGGGGCCACCCGACGCCGAACTTTAACATCTAGAGTCAGTCACACAAAATTAACAACATTCGATGACAAAAGTCGTTAATTTTTAATAAGTTTGCACGGGACTATTCCCACCTCTTGTTCCCACCGCTGCAACTCCTGTGTAGCCAGGATCTACAGCTTGACCGGCAATAAAGACCCAACCAGTGTAGACCCACTTTTTCTCGTAGGTAAATGTTTGTTTGTACGCTTTCTCTTAAAAATGTATTATCTTCTCTGAGGACAAAAATACAAGCAAAGATATCTTGGCAAGCACGAGACTCGCTCATAAAGTGGAACTTCCTTAGCAATATTTGCTCCCTTCCGCGCCATGAACCCGTAACTCGTCGCATTCGCGCCATTTCACGCCATTCCACCGCAGCCTGAAGAATACAGACACACCATAACTACGTATAAAGTTCCATGTTTTACCCTAGAAATTAGCAAATTGGCTCGAGAACTTCATATAGAGGTAAAAAAAACTTCAACAACCCCAAGATTTGTCGGTCCTATGATGGTTGGAACATTATCAGGGAAAACTTATTATCTACTCTACGAGTTTTTGTGCAGTTTTGGAACCACCTTATTAAATAGGCAAAAACATTGTTTGTTTATTTAGGCACACATGGAGCAACAAAGAAATCATGATATAACTGTTTTATGACTTGTAAAGTATAGCACAGCCTCATTTTAAGACATTTTTATAGAGCTAGCTGTTTTCTCTGTGCTTTGCATTTTGATTTACCTAAGTGCCACCGTTGTTTGCAGATAGGCAATTTGAACTGTCCTTAGCAAATGGACGGAAACTTTCCAGTATATTGACATAATATCCCCTGGCGACAACAGAACGGTGGAAGTAAGTTATGATGAGTGTAGGATTAACTTCGTGACAATTTTATATCATCAGAGATGTGTTGAATCGTGTCTAAGTGGTCTGTGCTGTGATGGGACCAACTTGGCTCGGAGGTTTGGGGAAAATATAGACCCAGGTTGGAATCCAGTAACTGCTTCTGCTTACCTACTTTACTTGGGAAAAATGCTGACATTTTAATTCTAAAAATGGTAATGGTACGTTGACAGACTATCGTCACTTTTTATCAATATTTGACCGGGAGAAGATGCAGTCTAGGATGTTAAAGATGCAACGATTAAAAAGTGCTTAGATTCACTTTTGAAACCCAGATCATAGTGTAATGAAGACTAAACCCTTGAAAAGGAGGCTGACAATAGTGACTGAGTTTCTTGCGCTGCTTCTTCTCAGCACTGGCCCAGTTATTGTCCCGAAGCAGTGGTAGGGTTTAATACTGGGGCGTGTAAATGTGCTTTTTAAAAGCCTATTTGCAAAAATAAGTTTTTTTACATCAACAGAGCTAAGCTCAGTTTCCAGCTGGTTTCTAGTTCTAGTACAGAACCTACTGAATTTAAGGTTAAAAGAATTTTTTTCAATATTATTTTCACCCCGATTATCACATCTAAACAGACAAACGTCCGTAAGTATTCACAAACGATGCTTGCTCAAGTGAAGCAGCAAATTGAACGCACAACTTTGAATAGAGCTCTGTGATTGGTTCGTGTGTCACCCTGTGCGTCCACGCGCACTGTGAGACCTCATAGTAATGTTTGTGAATACGGGCGAAAGTCACAGCAAAAACCAACGAATACGATGTGCTCCGTGCAATGTATTCACGCGGCCGTTCCCGAACTCATTTACTATGAATAGTTCGTTCCCCCAGCCTGAAAGTTTTCACATTAGCTGGGCTCAAAGGAAGCAAATAACTTTAAGTCGATACGGGGGCTGGTAATTGATAAACTGGCAACGGAGTAGTAGTACATTTAGTAAACATTTCAAGCTAAACTGTGGCCTCCTATGTACTTATAATTTGCAACAAAAATTTATAGTAAAGCACATAATGCTGTCATTTGTACTTCATCATCTCAGCCACAGGACGTCCACTGCTGAACATAGGCCTCCCCCAATGACTTCCACCTCGCATGGTTGGTACCGACGTCTGTATCTGTACACTTACTTAGTTCTAAAAGAAACATTCGGAATTATGGCTTTGTAAACTTTGTAAAGGTTAAGCTCACCGGGAACACAGACACTAGATTCGACTTTAAGTGCATCGCATTACACCACATTCTATTAGGTTTTCCTCCATCACTGATGTAATACTCGAATCTGACATTACACGCGAATGCACCCGATGAGGGTGCACCTAAAAAAAACAACTAAAAATCCATTTGTATCTGCCCCGAAACTTGGAAAAATAAACAGAACAGGAAGGCAACTAAATATAACTAGCGATATAACCCTATCAGTTACGGGACTATTCCCACCTCTCGTTCCCACCACTGCAACTCCTGTGTAGCCAGGATCTACAGCTTGACCGCCAATAAAACCCAACCAATGAAGGTCAAGTTTGTCCCGGGGGAAAGTTAAACTGTCATTGGACCCGCAACGAAATTAACCCTATCAGTTAGGCGGACATAGCTACCGCCCACTTTATCCTTTCCATTTGATAAAATTAAAAAGGATGAATCCAATTAGACCCCTCACGTGTAAAATTCCCATTTTACAGTAATATCGGACAGTAATTGTAATGAATTCGGTCCATTTTGTCCCGATGGGGTTCGCTATCAATCTGCGGGTAGGCAGCGTACGGTGCAGTGAGGGTAAAAACGTAACGTATGGTACAGTAATAATAAAAGCAGAGGCAGTGGTTCCCAATCTATACATGGACTCTTGCAAATCTAAGTCGTGTAGCTATTTATTTATTTATTTATTATTTATTTATTGACAAAGATCTACCAACAACACAACTATTTAATTAATTATAATAGCTATTTATATTTAATTATAATTTTATGACATAATGCAAAGAAGGAACAGTGCTTCTAAGCACAGAAGTGATCTGTGGTATACCAAAGTGTGCAAAAAAAGTCAAAAATTAGTTGCTTAAAGCTTTTACACTATCCTTGTCTTCCAGATGGTTACTAACCAGCTAGTTTTATTGTCTTTTTTAATAAACAGTTGATGAGTTGACAATAAAAATGCATACTTTGTAAAAGGTAGGTATTTGCATTCCAACATTAACAGCAGTATATCAACAGTATAAATAAAGTGAACCATCAGAACCAAATTGTTTTAGAACCGCGTGCCACTGCAGCCATTCCGGGAATTTACGGCGTCCGCCATTACCCGTAAATATGACGCTGATTTATAATCTGCGCACTTCGCGGGCACCGCTCGGTGGAAAAATGCGAATAAAAGCATTTAACTGATTTAAGGCAGGCTGTGCTGCGCAAAATTGGATGCTTTGAATACTTTCTAGCAAGAAATTATATAGAAAGAAACTTCCTACACCCCATTCCGTATTTTTCAGGCAGGCTGTCCAAAGAGATCGCTTCCTGGCCTACCCAAATTGTGTCATTCCAATTTTTCCCCAAAATCACATCAAATGTCCACCAAAATAACATGTTAGATAGACATCTTCTGACAAATCTGACAGCCCATAAAGCTGGACACCATCATAGTTTTAGCCAGATAAAACAGACTCTAGGAGAGAAACCCTTGCGTCGCAACACTTTACTGCACACTACACCTATTCAAGTACCAAATCTCTCTTTTTTTTCCAGGAGTGAGCAGTCCTACAACCGCACAGTGCAATCAGTATCCTCGGTGGATGCTCTGGCAGTCCCCTGGAGCGCGGTGGAGGCGCGACTGGCTTTACCCTCGGCTCTTGGAGTAGCCGGCATTCCTGCACTGGTCCTGACCTCGCCTACTGGCAGCGTGCTAACTGTCAATGGAAGGACGCATCTAGCTGCTGATCCTCTAGGACTGGTGAGTAAAAACGTCCTATAAACGCACAGTGAAGTCTGTTTCCTTGGTGGACGCATTAGCTGTCCCCTAGAGCGCGGTGGAGGCACGACTGGCGCTACCCTCGGCCCTTGGAGTAGCTGGTATCCCTGCACTGGTCCTGACCTCGCCTACTGGTAGCGTGCTGACTGTCAATGGAAGGACGCATCTGGCTGCTGATCCTCTAGGATTGGTGAGTAAAACGTCCTATAACCGCACAGTGCAGTCTGTTTCCTTGGTGGACGCATTAGCTGTGTCCTGGAACGCAGTAAAGGCACTACCCTCGACCCTTGGAGTAGCTGGTATCCCTGCACTGGTCCTGACCTCGCCTACTGGCAGCGTGCTGACTGTCAATGGAAGGACGCATCTGGCTGCTGATCCTTTAGGACTGGTGAGTAAAACGTCCTATAACCGCACAGTGCAGTCTGTTTCCTTGGTGGACGCATTGGCTGTGCCCTGGAGCGCAGTAAAGACAAGGCTGGCGCTACCCTCGGCCCTTGGAGTCGCCGGCATCCCTGCACTGGTCCTGACCTCGCCCACTGGCAGCGTGCTGACTGTCAATGGAAGGACGCATCTGGCTGATGATCCTTTAGGACTGGTGAGTAATTTTAAAAACGTCCTACAACTGCGCAGTGCAGTCGGTGCCCTCAGTGAATGCTCTGGCAGTCTGGAGGACGCGCCCTCTCTAATTTAACAAAAGAAAATGGAGGATTATGCCTAAACAATCCCCACGCTGGCCAAAAGGATTGGGGTGGTCTAATTTTCGCATAGGTATTTGGTCTCAAGCACTTCTGACCTCCACGGAAAGATCGGGGGTGGTCCTTAAGATTAATCTAAGGGGTGGTCCTATTCTACCCTACAGGGGCTACAGGTGCCACACGGCTAGACACATTATTATCTCTTTGGTGTTTTCCGCAGAACTTCCCGTGGGCGGCGCGGCCGGTGTCGGTGCTGACGGAGCAGGCGCTGCTGAAGATGGCTCGACACGCCGCGCTCGTGCTCTTCGTCGGTCAGTAGCTTTAAACCTCTTTTAACTACCTACCTACCTGTTTAAATTTTACCCGGGACCAACTTGACCTTCTGTAATATTTGTGATAAGGTGGAGGATGTTCAACACATCCTAGTAGAGTGTGTGAAATTTAAAAAGGAAAGAGACTTAATCCTGCGAAAGTTTCACATCAACGCGTACGATGTAGGAGGTTTTCTTAATATTTTAGCTAACCCAACAAGCAAAGCTGCAAGATTTGTGGTGGATATGGTTTCGCAGGATTAAATTTCTTTCTAAATAGTGAATGTTATTGTAAGCTTAGGTTAAGATTCGATGGGACTGACATGTTCTCAAACAAAAGTCCCTAAATAAAAACAGATTAAAAAAAAAAAAAAAAAAACTTGACCTTCACTGGTTGAGTTTTTATTGGCGGTCAAGTTGTAGATTCTGGTTACACAGGAGTTGCAGCGGTAAGAACTAGAGGTGGGAAAGTCCTGTATACATACCTTTTTACCTCTTTATCTGGACTAACCCTTAACAAACAGATACATTTTTGATTGGACTTTAAATCCCTAACTTATTCTCTGGTTGTATTTACCAAGCTGTAGAGCTACTTAGACAAAGCTCTAGTTTAAGTACAAGTAGTGGGAATTGGGTTATCAGTAAACAGTGTACTAAGTATTACTTATTCTGTGGTGATGCTTATGTGATAAGTACTCTAGTTTGTGATGCCCTTCTAGAAGAAAGATAACTTATCTACCTACTTAGGCAAAACTTTTAACATAAAACTTCTTGTTATGGTCTTTAATTCCCATGTCTCTTCCCCAGACGACGAGGACTCCGAGATCGAATTCGCCGAGTCAGTGCTCACACCATCCGCCGAATCGTACTACGAGGAGTGCAGCATCCAGTACCCAGGCTTCTGCCCCTACCAAAACTCTTCCGACGACGAAACCATGGACTTTGACTACCCCACCTCCAAACATTCCCGCGTCAAAAAGAAATCTTTCAAGCACGTCATGTTCTACATTGGGATAGACGGGACAGACAGCGCTGACATGCTGAGAGAGCACATCGGTCTTGATGACGCTGTCCCGCTCTTAACTGCCATAGACTTCCCCAAGCAGAGGATGGTGACCATGAACTATGGAGACGAGATTACCACGGATTCTGTGCAGAATTTCGTCGATGCGTACCTTAGTGGTAACGCGGACTTCAAGCCTTTGAAGCCATATAGTGAAAAATGTTAGAGGACTGATGATTGTTTGTAGCGAGTACGTTTTTCCATAGAGATTAATAAATTTGGATCATTTTGTATGATTAAGTAATTTGGTTTTGAATTAAGATACGATGTATTGATTGTATTTCTGAAATGAAATTACAGTTGTTTACGTTGATTAAACTCGCTACGAAACGAAATAAAATATGTTTAAATCAGACTTTTATAAAATAGTTTCATTCATTGTTAGTAGAGAGTAGAGAATAGCGTAATTTTTTGTATTACAGACCAAATACATTTTAGATTTGAGATATTGTTTTATTTATTGTATAAGGCTATAAAATGTTTTATTCTAGTGACTTGGTAGTAGGTACCTATAACCACGAACCAAAACTATTTGGAAATGAGTTTTCAATCAAAATCGATATAGTGCAAAGTTGGGCTGGGTAGAAATTTTCCAATTTTCATTAATAAATTAAAATAAAAAAATAACTAACCTCTAAAAGTTTTTGTATTGACCCCAAAATAATTCCTATTGGTTAGTAGCATATTTTTGTTTCCCTCCATTTATTGTTTGGATAAGGCATTGGTTGAAATGTTGCGAGTGTTGCGACAGATGGCGCTAGTCCTCTGTTTAAAGTGATTTGATTGGCCATTTATAAAGTTCTGGCAACTTGAGACCAATCAAGTCATTGTTGCAAAAACACTTCAAAGCAACCGCAACTGAAGCTTTTTTTTCACAATTATTTAAATTTAACTGTGAAAATACTCAAATCAGACTTCTCCGAACAATAAAGTGATGATGTGAAATGAAATTAGTGAGTGACATCATTGAACCTTAGTGCTCGTGAAAAACGTATCTCCAAGGGTTCAAAGGGATATCAAACCGGTTCCATCATCGTGTCTGGACTCCGTACAATATCTGCTGAAAGCAATCCATGATTTGTCCTACAGGTTAGTGGCTAATTTGTAACTTTTGTATTAGTTATTCCATTAAAAACGTTAGTTCATCCGAAACTTATACGCGGGAAAAAGCCGCAATGCGGACGCTTGCATTTACCTTTAGTTGGTTATAAAATCACGCGGTTAGAAACCGCGGCGGTTTAGCCGTAATACGGACTCGACCTAATAATAATAATAAAACACAGTTTGCTTAAAAATTGAATTTGAAAATCCTTCTAGCGTAGTCGGGTGAAAAGAACGCATCTTGATTCTCTTACATCTACTAGGAAATATTGCCTATAGGACCGGGGACTGCGACCAACGCTACCTTCATACCTACCTAATTTAAATCGGTCCAGTAGTTAACAGAGTTGGTTTCTCAACAATATCTTTAAACAAATAAAATTAGTCGTAGTAGTAATCGTTGCATTACCAAAAATAAAAACTTAATGAACGCAGCCGTGGTACTTTACCATAGACAAATGGCGGGAAATAGAATGATGTCATTCATTCGTTGAATTAATCAAATCTTAATCGATTCTCAAAAGTGAGTGTTCAATTGAAAATTTTGTGTAAAATTCTCATGAAAATACTTTGCATTACAGAACATTTCAAACCGAATTAAATAATTTCACATTGTGTTGAAATAGGAAATGATATTTTTATTCATTATTCGTCCTTATCGAAAAAAATATTTTCGAAAAATATTTCAATTGCCATATCGATTTAACTTAACTCGATTATGGTGCACAACACTAATATTGACGCCGGTCGACGACGCCATTTGTGAAATAAAATTGTNCATACATGAGTTTACCTTCTGTTATATTTTGTGGTACGGTACAGTGTGGTACAGTAATAACAAAAGCAGAGGTAGTGGTTCCCAATCTATACATGGACTCTTGCAAATCTAAGTCGTGTAACTACCATTATCTGATTTATAATTATAATTTTATGACATAATGCAAAGAAGGAACAGTGCTTACCTATCTAAGCACAGAAGTGATGTGTGGGATACCTACTTAAGTGTGCCAAAAAATCAAGTATTAGTTGCTTAAAGCTTTCGCAATATCCTTGTATTCCAGATGGTTACTAACCAGGTAGTTTTACTGTTTTTTTTTTTAATAAACAGTTGACAATAAAAATGTATACTTTGTAAAAGGTATTTGCATTCCAACATTAATAGCAGTATATCAACAGATAAAGCAGCGGTTCCCAAACTTGTTTTGTCTACTGCCCACTTTGAGAATAAATTCTTTTTAGCGCCCCCATTTGTAGTCGAGTGTCGAGTGCTCAGTCGGTGTCTAAGAGTCCTCCTAGTAGATGACGCCTCCCAAGCCTCTACACAACGTCTCGATTTTTTTTCTGGGTCTCTTACCGCCCCCCTTTAAGCCTGCAGCGCCCACAAGGGGGCGTTATCGCCCATTTTGGGAAAGACTGGTATAAAGTGAACCATCAGAACCAAATTGTTTTAGAACCGCGTGCCACTGCAACCATTCCGGGAATTTACGGCGTCCGCCATTACCCGTAAATATGACGCTGATTTATAATCTGCGCACTTCGCGGGCACCGCTCGGTGGAAAAATGCGAATAAAAGCATTAAACTGATTTAAGGCAGGCTGTGCTGCGCAAAATTGGACGCTTTGAATACTTTCTAGCAAGAAATTATATAGAAAGAAACTTCCTACACTCCATTCCGTATTTTTCAAGCAGGCTGTCCAAAGAGATCGCTTCCTGGCCTACCCAAATTGTGTCATTCCAATTTTTCCCCAAAATCACATCAAATGTCCACCAAAATAACATGCTAAATAGACATCTTCTGACAGCCCATAAAGTTGGACACCATCATAGTTTTAGCCAGACAAAACAGACTCTAGGAGAGAAACCCTTGCGCCGCAACACTTTACTGCACACTACACCTATTCAAGTACCAAATCTCTCTTCTTTTCCAGGAGTGAGCAGTCCTACAACCGCACAGTACAGTCCGTATCATCAGTAGATGCTCTGGCTGTCCCCTGGAGCGCGGTGGAGGCAAGACTGGCTCTACCCTCGGCTCTTGGAGTAGCCGGCATCCCTGCACTGGTCCTGACCTCGCCTACTGGCAGTGTGCTAACTGTCAATGGAAGGACGCATCTCGCTGCTGATCCTTTAGGACTGGTGAGTAAAATCGTCCTATAACCGCACAGTGCAGTCTTTTCCTTGGTGGACGCATTAGCTGTGCCCTGGAGCGCAGTAAAGGCGCGGCTGGCGCTACCCTCGGCTCTTGGAGTTGCCGGCATCCCTGCACTGGTCCTGATCTCGCCTACTGGCAGCGTGCTGACTGTCAATGGAAGGACTCATCTGGCTGCTGATACTCTAGGACTGGTGAGTCTAAAACTAAACCTTCATTTTCCATCTTTGTTTTAATTGGGACATTTACCCGAAAAGTTGGACACAAATGACCTTATAAATGCAGGAAGACGCTGCTTGCAGGCTGCTTCCAATCGGTCAATCTTGAAATCTTTTGGGTTGTGTACAGTAGTGGACCTACTGTGATTAAAATGATGATGATGATTTGGAATTTGTGCACTCATATATCTATCAAAGCGCTGATAACCACTGCAGTAAACCAGTTCTTGAGCGGAGCTTTGTAACGTGACTCCAGCCTATAGATGGACTAGTGGACTAACGATTTAAAGGTCGCTGGCAAAAGCTGGATGCAACAAATCAAAACAGAGCAAAAGTCTATGTCTAGAAGTTGACTGTAGGCAGATTATTATTTGTAAATAAGTACTGAAACGAAAGACTGTTTATTTCTTATAAATTATACATTGGATATTGTCCGCAGAACTTCCCATGGGCGGCGCGGCCGGTGTCGGTGCTGACGGAGCAGGCGCTGCTGAAGATGGCTCGACACGCCGCGCTCGTGCTGTTCGTCGGTCAGTAGCTTTCAACCTCTTTTAACTACCTACCTACCTGTTTAACTTTCCCCGGGACCACCAACTTAACCTTCACTGGTTGGGTTTTTATTGGCGGCCAAGCTGTAGATCCTGGCTACACAGGAGTTGCAGCGGTAAGAACTAAAGGTGGGAATAGTCCTGTATACATACCTTTTTACCTCTTTATCTGGTCTAACCCTTAACAAACAGATTGAGCCCTTAACAAGCTGTAGAGCTACTTATACGAAGCTCTAGGCTCTAGTTTACAAATAGTGAGAATTGGGTTGTCAGTAAACAGTGTAGGTATATACTAATACTTATTCTGTGGTGATGCTAAGGTGATAAGTACTCTAGTTTGTGATGCCTTTCTAGAAGAAAGATAACTTAATTTACCTACCTACTTATAAAAAACTTTTAACATAAAACTTCTTGATATGGTCTTTAATTCCCACGTGTCTCTTCCCCAGACGACGAGGACTCCGAGATCGAATTCGCCGAGTCAGTGCTCACACCATCCGCCGAATCGTACTACGAGGAGTGCAGCATCCAGTACCCAGGCTTCTGCCCCTACCAGAACTCCTCCGACGACGAAACCATGGACTTCGACTACCCCACCTCCAAACATTCCCGCGTCAAAAAGAAATCTTTCAAGCACGTCATGTTCTACATTGGGATAGACGGGACAGACAGCGCTGACATGCTGAGAGAGCACATCGGTCTTGATGACGCTGTCCCGCTCTTAACTGCCATAGACTTCCCCAAGCAGAGGATGGTGACCATGAACTATGGAGACGAGATTACCACGGATTCTGTGCAGAATTTCGTCGATGCGTACCTTAGTGGTAACGCGGACTTCAAGCCTTTGAAGCCATATAGTGAAAAATGTTAGAGGACTGATGATTGTTTGTAGCGAGTACGTTTTTCCATAGATATGAATAAATGATATTGGATCATTTTGTATGATTAAGTAATTTGGATTCTAATTATGACACGCTGTATTGATTGTATTTCTGAAATGAAGTTACAGTTGTTTACGTGGATTCGTGTTATTAAAATAAAAACTCGCTACGAAACGAAATAAAATATGTTTAAATCAGACTTTTATAAAATAGTTTCATTCATTGTTAGTAGAGAGTAGAGAATAGCGTAATTTTTTGTATTACAGACCAAATACATTTTAGATTTGAGATATTGTTTTATTTATTGTATAAAATAAAGGCTATAATAATATTTTATTCTAGTGACTTGATAGTAGGAAATCCAAATCGATATAGTGCAAAGTGGGCTGGGTAGAAATTTTCAGTAATTAATAAAATAAAAAAATAACTACCCTCTATAAAGTTTTTGTATTGACCCCTAAATAATTCCTATTGGTTAGTAGCATATTTTTGTTTCCCTCCATTTAATGTTTGGATACGGCATTGGTTGAAATGTTGCGACAGATGGCGCTAGTCCACTGTTTAAAGTGATTTGATTGGCCATTATTAAAGTTCTGGCAACTTGAGAGACCAATCAAAGCATTGTTGTAAAAACACTTCAAAGCAACCGCAACTCAAACATTTTTTTTCACAATTATTTAAATTTAACTGTGAAAATACTCAAATCAGACTTCTCCGGACAATAAAGTGATGATGCGAAATGAAATTAGTGAAAGTGACATCATGGAACCTTAGTTAGTACTCGTGAAAAACGTATCTCCAAGGATTCAAAGGGATATCAAACCGGTTCGATCATCGTGTCTGGACTCCGTACAATATCTGCTGAAAGCAATCCATGATTTGTTCTACAGGTTAGTGGCTATTTTGTAACTTTGGTATTCGTTATTTTATTATAAACGTTAGTTCATCCGAAACTTATACGCGGGAAAAAGTCACAATGCGGACGCTTGCATTTACTTTAAGTTGGTTATAAAATCACGCGGTTAGAAACCGCGGCGGTTTAGCCGTAATGCGGATTCGGCCTATTATTAATAAAACACAGTTTGCTTAAAAATTGAATTTGACAATAACCCTCCTAGCGTAGTCGGGTGAAAAGAACACATCTGATTCTCTTCTATCTTCTAGGAAATATTGCTTACAGGACCGGGGACTGCGACCAACGCTACCTTCATACTACAATTTAATCTAAATCGGTCCAGTAGTTAACAGAGTTGGTTTCTCAACAATATCTTTAAACAAATAAAATTAGTCGTAGTAGTAATCGTTGCATTACCAAAAATAAAAACTTGATGAACGCACCCGTGGTACTTTACCATAGACAAATGGCGGGAAATAGAATGAAAGAAAAAAAAAAAAATGTTTTTCATTCGTTGAATTAATCAAATCTTAATCGATTCTCAAATGTGAGTGTTCAATTGAAAATTTTGTGTAAAATTCTCATGAAAATACTTTGCATTACAGAACATTTCAAATCGAATTAAATAATTTCACATTGTTTTGAAATAGGACATGATATTTTTATTCATTATTCGTCCTTATCGAAAAAAATAATCATCGAAAAATATTTCAATTGCCATATTGATTTACCTTAACTCGATTGTGGTGCACAACACTAATATTGACGCCGGTCGACGACGCCATTTGTGAAATAAAATTGTTCAAAATAAATTTCACGTGCTCTTCTGGAGTCCGTGTCGTAAATAGTTATATTTAGTAACTACAAATCATGGCCGATAACGACGAACTTCTCGACTACGACGAGGATGAAGAGCAGGCGGAACAGCAGACTACCGAGGGGGCGGCAGACGCGGTTCCCAAGAAAGAGGTTAAGGGTTCTTACGTATCAATCCACAGCTCTGGCTTCAGAGATTTTCTCTTGAAACCGGAGATTTTGAGAGCAATCGTCGACTGCGGTTTCGAGCATCCTTCAGAAGTCCAGCATGAGTGCATTCCACAAGCTGTATTGGGCATGGACATTCTGTGTCAAGCGAAGTCCGGTATGGGGAAAACGGCCGTGTTTGTTTTAGCAACATTGCAGCAGCTGGAACCGTCTGAGAATCATGTTTACGTGCTAGTTATGTGCCACACTCGTGAGTTGGCCTTCCAGATCAGCAAAGAGTATGAAAGATTCTCAAAGTACATGTCTGGTGTACGTGTGTCCGTGTTCTTTGGCGGAATGCCCATCCAAAAGGATGAGGAAGTGCTGAAGACCGCCTGCCCGCACATCGTCGTGGGAACTCCCGGCAGAATCTTAGCTTTAGTCAACAGCAAGAAATTAAACCTGAAACATCTAAAACACTTCATCCTGGACGAGTGTGACAAAATGCTGGAATCTCTGGACATGAGGCGCGACGTGCAGGAGATATTTAGGAACACCCCACACGGAAAACAAGTTATGATGTTCTCCGCTACTTTGAGCAAGGAAATTCGACCAGTGTGCAAGAAATTCATGCAGGATCCTATGGAGGTGTACGTAGATGACGAGGCCAAGCTGACACTGCACGGACTGCAGCAGCATTACGTGAAGTTGAAGGAAAACGAGAAAAACAAAAAGCTTTTCGAGCTGTTGGATGTTTTGGAATTCAACCAAGTTGTGATATTTGTGAAGTCAGTGCAACGTTGTATAGCACTAGCTCAATTGCTGACAGATCAGAACTTCCCTGCTATTGGAATCCACAGAAACATGACTCAAGATGAGCGTCTTTCTCGTTATCAGCAATTCAAGGACTTCCAGAAGCGAATCCTTGTTGCCACCAACCTGTTTGGACGAGGAATGGATATTGAGCGAGTGAACATAGTATTCAACTATGACATGCCTGAAGACTCGGACACCTACTTACATCGAGTGGCTCGCGCCGGGCGATTTGGTACCAAGGGTTTGGCCATAACCATGGTATCTGATGAAAACGATGCCAAGATCCTGAATGAAGTGCAAGACCGTTTCGATGTGAACATAACGGAGTTGCCTGAAGAGATAGAGCTGTCTACCTACATTGAGGGCCGATAATTATGGACTTTAGTGTTTCATTCCCATTTTGTACCAACTTTGTGGTAATTAACTTTAGACATCCGGCTGTCATTTACCAACATGAGTGTTGTTTCATTTAGTTTGTTAATCTATTGTAAGTTCGACAGAGTGATCACCTTGTGTAATACATTGGTAGGCACAGCTCATGTCCAAATACTAATAATTTAGGTTTAAAAGTAATTAAAGTGACATTTGATATTGTGAAAATTGCCTCTTATTGTAATACATTCCCAGATCTGCAACTATGTTAAATCTTAATTTTTGTTATAAATGGTATACCTAGTTTATGCCAAATCAAATCTACCTAAGTCAATTATAACTTTATAAGGTACTTAAACTCATTACTTTTATATTTGTTATTTAGTATTTGAGTTCCCTAGCTAGACTATGTATAAGATACAAATTAAATTTTGATAAGATAAAATAAAAGACCATTGTTCAGATCTATAAAAACTTTATTTCAACAATGAGTATTGAGTCTTGAGACAATGCTAACATTGAGTAGGTTTGTGATTACAGTGAATACCTTGAACACAATACCTAGAATTACAACAATTTAGCTTACAAAGGAAAATAAGTACACTTAGTAATTACAATGGAATTTGAAACATAACTTTTATCAAACAAACATTTTCTTTTCATAAATGCCATTCTTTTTTCTGTAATGCTTGTTATAAACATCATGGTCACCAAAGGTTTTTTCATGAGTGAACCTTGTGATGAGATCCAATGCCCACTTTGGTTGGTCTCCTGGCACCATATGGCCTGCATTCCTCACCATGATCTCAACCAGCTTCCCAGCTTGCTTCACATATCCAGCTACCTCGTCATCCACTTTCCAAATGTACCTTTTAGCAGTCTTGTAGTCTTCAGATCCAGTGAAATTCAGATTCCTCAAGTAATTTATAGTCAAAGGATAAGCCACAATGATGTCCAGCTGCCCATTGTATATCACAACATAGTAATGGTCGAGGAGCTCTGAAATCCATGGTGCAACTGACTTCATCACATCCTGCTTCAAATGCTGCTCTACTATGGAACCATTATTGAAAGGCAAATCGCCTACATGAATGGCTTTCCTCACAGAACTCTTCTGTAGCATGGGACCAAAGTCTTCATAGTTTGTGTAGTCCTTGGTGTGCAGGTAGTTGAAATAAAAGTTAAAACCAGTCATATTGTAGAAAATGCTCTTCCCATCTATTAAGTCACCATTCAAGAGGGTGTCAAATGTATCAAAAGCATCATTCCATTGACCTTTCTGAATGAAGTCTCTTGTTTTATTTTCATACTCTTCAAACACCTTGGCTTGGTTCCAATCAATGAGGCCTATTTGGTACAAATATTTGCCATACAACAGTTGATGCTCAGGGTCACTCAATCCATTACCTATTGCAATTCCTTTCAGGTTGATTTTCAATGAAGCAGTAGGGTTCTTCTTATGTATGGTGTAAGCCAGTGCAGGAACATACTTTCCACCGTATGACTCACCTGTGACAAAGAACTTATTCTGTTGCAGTTCAGGAAATAGTTGGAAGAATTGTATGAGAGTTGAATACAGCTGTTCCCCCACCTGGGCCTCATCAATACAGTAACCTTTGCTGTCATTTGTAAAACTGAATCCTGTTCCAACGGGGTTGTCGATGTAGATGACGTGATGGCTCAGAGCCCAGTTGTACTTCCTGCGTTCAAATTTGCCGTTGCGAACCCTTAGAGGCCCATTCTCAGTGAAGAGTCCGTACAAAGAAGTAGCGCCCGGCCCGCCCTGCAGCCACACCACCACCGGAGCCGGCTGATTATTCGAGGTCATCGCTGGGAAGTACCAGAAGAACTGGTTGGAGTTGTATTTCTTGTCAACAGTGAAGTAGCCGGCGTAACTTTTGATCCTCAAACTCTCTGTGAACGGCACACGTGCTAGCCGCCTGCCATCAGCGATGTTTCCGCTCTCGACGTATGGCGTGAGGAATAGAGGTTTCCCAGCATCACCACCGTCGCGTTCGCCAAGCTCGATCTTAGGATACCGGTGGAAGAAGCCTTGAACGTTGAGTGCTTGAAGAGCAAGCAAAAAACAGAGCGCGCGGGCCATCCTGACTGCTTGAATTATCGCCAATGACTGGCGTGATAACAAAAATACTTAACCTTTGTATATAAACCGGCTTATCGGTACTTTGCCGTTAGGGAAACTAAAAAATCATTGTTGATAAAACAACAACAAAGTTAACTTAGTTTGACATTGACACTTTGACAACTCAGCAGCTGAAAGGAGCTTTTAGCGCTTTACCACGGCTTTACACTTTTCGACCAACAATGGAACACGCCCGCCCACTGTTTGCTCGCATGCAGCTTTGCGCCTGCACAGTGAAAATACAAACCGGATTATTTCCTTAAAAAAAATTCCGTCGACCGCGTAAATTGTGTAGTAATTCTGAAATCAATAGAATTATGCATTTTATAAAATCTAGTTTGAATGATGCGCGCTCTTTATCCAGAATAATACGGTCCTTTAAAAAAGCAGGAAAACAAACTCTTACTTTCAAAGAGAAAAAGCTATGTAATTTATGCACTTAAAACACTTCAACAAATTATCATTTTTTAAGCCGAAATAAATGGCGCATCGTCGTTTTATCGATAGATTCTGAAATAGGCCGCAGTTTTTTAGAATGAGAAAAAGACCAAAAGCATCTTAATTATTATGCCCTACCTAAGTAGTTCATTATCAGGTGAATATTAAACACGATCTCGAAGAAAAAAATTAAATGCACTTTGTAGAGGTCATTCTCCAAATGTTATCAGACCGGGAATTGAACCCGGACCCCCTTTGTTCTTGACGGTTCACCACGTCCACTAATTTCAAAATGTTATGCAATTGGCAATAATGTGATAAATGTGATTAATTTAAAGTTAACCATTATTTTGCAAACATCTTTTATATCGGACATAATAATAAACGAGGCCTAATTTTAGGCCAAAAGCAGTTGTTGTTAATTTAGAACAAGTTATCAATAGTAGCTAAGTAAGTAGGTAACTGTGTTAATAAGTATTAAGTACAGTCAGCTGCAAGAGTAAACTATTATTATTAAGTTACAAGCATAATAAATAATATTAATTCAGTGAGAAACACATTAAATACTGCAGGCTCACTATCTGCAAGACTCAAAGGTTGACTGGCAGCAGTTAATGAGTTTAGCTTTAAGTTCACCATGCAGGTACTTATTCTAAGTAGTTTCGTAACTTTTTCCAATTCAAATTTTTTTAGAAAAGTGCTTTTTAATTTTATACGTCGTCAATATAAATGCGAGTGTTTGTGCGTGGTTTGTGTGACTGTTACTCTTTCACGCAAAAACTGCTGAACGGATTTTGATTAAACTTTACAGTTACTGCTTGTTTATACTCAGAATAACATAATATTTTATAGACGCAAACTGAATTTCACGCTGGTGAAGCCGCGGGCAAAAGGTAATGTTTACCTAGAACAGAATAATAATGTGACTGTATAATTTATCGTAATAGTCTTACCAATCCTTTGTTCTTTGCTAAGTAGGTAGGTAGTAGTGCAACAACAGTGTTCTTGTATGAACAGTAGGTATCCTACTAATGCGAAAGTTTGGATGTCTGGATGTTTGTTACTCTTTCACGCAAAAACTACTGAACGGATTTTGTTGAAACTTTACAGTATTTTTGTTTGTAACCCAAATTAACATATAGGCTATAATTTATGCCGATCTGTGACACTAAATTTCACGCGGTTGAAGCCGCGGGCAAAAGCTAGTATAATAATATTATTTGCACTTTGCAACTTAAGTAATAAACCGATGTTACGAAGTATTGTTTATTGTGGTGAGTCAATGAGTACCTATAACAAGAAAGTGGAAAAATATTACACATAGTCCATTAAAATTTCTGTACCCCCAGTGAAAAGGGATCTAACTCGACTTAGATCAAAATTGACTTTATAACATAATGTGAATCTCTGAAAAATTAGCTATTTTTGTATCTAATCGGTATGTTTCTACGACGTATAGAAAAGAAAATAATGTTGTGCCAAATGATACAAGTAAGGCTTTGTGAACCAATTTTGAGTTTTCTTTCGTGTATATTGATACATGTCTACTTTTAACAAAGTGTACCGGAGGCTTCTTTCAATTTTTTATTGTGTCAAGAGGTACGACTCGTGTTACTACTTTTTACACGATTGAAGTTGTTCAGATTGAATTTGTGATTAACAATATAAGATGACTCATATTAATATACACAAAAAAAAACTATGTATTGTTGGTTGGTGAAAAAGAATGTAACTTAATTTATAGCACAAAAAGTAAAAGACAAATGATTATTTATTTTGTGTATAATGATTCAATTAGACTAATACCATTAACCACAAAAGTTTCGTACATGTGTAAAATGTTATCAGTTACTTAGATCAAAAACATTTGAAAATCGCAACTAATGATTTGGTTAATTATTTGGTGTAAAATGATATAACTTAGCCCAATTGTCAGATTAAAGGAAAACATAATGCGTAGTTTATAAATCAAAGAACTTTAGTTAATAGTTTTAATAAATAATGGTTAACATCTACTAGTAAAACATATAATTGAATTCATAGTGCCTAACGTTGTCAATAAAAGTACTTAATAAGTGCATTATAGAATTTACAAGAGCTCCAACTACCAGAACTCTTTATAAACAAAACTCATCACCTTAGACAATAAATTGAACTGGGCGAGTCATGTCGAGAACAAAATAAAAATGGCCTGTATAGCATTCCATCAGTGCAAGATACTCATTGGTAGTAGATGAGGTCTCAACCCAAAGATAACACTGGCTCTACACGTCGGTTATATGGCCCTCTTACACATATTATTATAGATCACTTGTGTGGTGGCACAGAACACAACTCATCATCATCATCAACAGCCCTTTACAGTCCACTGCTGGACTATGAGCCTCCTTCACTATAGTGGAGGGTATTGCCATAATCCCCACGCTTGGCAGGCGGGTTGGAGATCGCAGTTTAAAAGATTGATGTTCTTCAGAGAGCGCTGCTGCCCGTTCTCTGTTTGATGTGTAGTCCCTAAGTCGCCTCTTACGACACCCGCGGGAAGAGTTGGAGTTGGTGACAAATGTATTCTACTCTGCCGTCACCACACGGCGAATCTCAGATCTTTAGACCTCATCATTCGGAGGAAGCGCAAGCAGCCGCTCTAAGACTTAAAGGTAAGAACGGCATATAGAAGCAAAACAAGGAGACAGGACATTCCACGATCCTGCACAAAACCCTAATAAAAGAAATACCTCTCACCGAGGCACCTATCGGCAGAATTCCCTGTGTTCACTCTTCGACTGAAGATATACAATTTATATTACCCTAAAAGTAGTAAAGTACACTTTTATTGTGTATCATTATCAGAAATGTTTTCAGACAGGCGCTCACAGCATTTTTTCAATGGGGAAATGTTAAAATAACATTAGTTTCGACTTTTGCCACATGCCAATTATCCGTGAGCGGACTAATAACCCATGTGATATGAGTCATCTGCTTTGGCGCGATGTGTTGAGTGGCGAGGTGAGTGGTGTGCGTTAGTATGAAACGGAACGTTTATTAACTTTTTCGCGAAAGTAAAGGAAATGATGCCCATTCAGCCTATTTTGCAAATTTGATAGAAAATACGTAGATTCTAGGACTGAAGTTCGTAGGTTTGCAAGGAAGGCTTAAAATACGTAGATCTACGTAAAAATACGTAGAGTTGGCAACCCTGGTGGTAGGGTTAATACTGGGACGTGTAAAAGTGCTTTTTAAGAGCCTATATAAATGACTTTTTAGTTTTTTTCATATAACTCTTAACTTTCACAATTCGTATTCGTGCTAGGGAAGAAATGCCAAACTTTTGCGTATTTTCCTTTAAATAGAGATCTGAAATGTTGAATCTCCCANCTGATGGACAAACTAATGGATGGAGAATTGACTAACTTCTCTTACTTCAAATCTTATACAGGGTTCACCGACTACTACAATTTCCTAAAAACAGATAATGATGACGACATGTCTATTTTCACAGATTTACTACAAAACGATAAGTTAAGACATAGTATCCATGTAGGGGGACTGCCATTCAACTCCGGGGAAGAAGTACAAATACACTTGGCATTTGACATACTTAAATCGGTAGCACCAGACATAACTGAGTTACTTTCACACTACCGCATATTGTTTTATAATGGGCAGCTAGACATTATTGTTGCATATCCGTTGACAGAAAATTTCTTACGTAACCTAAACTTTTCTTCGGCTGAAGAGTACAAAAAAGCCACTAGAAATGTGTGGAAAGTTGGAGATGATATAGCTGGTTATTGGAAGAAAGCTGGCAATCTGACAGAAGTCTTGGTACGAAATGCCGGACACATGGTGCCCCATGATCAACCGAAGTGGGCCCTAAACCTCATAACTCGCTTCATCCAAGGCAAATTTTGACTATTTTACATGGGTTTTGGTAAAGTTACATAAAATATTATAATTTTATGATGAAATGTTTTTTTTATAATAAAAATATTATTTTTAGTTTATACATTTTATTAATTACCAAATAAATAATAGAAACTAAATCAAGTCAATTCAATTCCACGTTAACAATATCATTGATCTCTATCATTACTTTGGGTGAGTATTGTTTGAATACAATGCGATTTCATGATAGGAAATTAATTAGAAAATTGTAATTGTGATTAAAATACATTAACAATATTAAATGCTAAATCAGGCAATCAAGTATTAAAAAATATATTACACACTAATCAATGAAATCAAATTAAAATAACAAGCCATTCGATTCCTTTAATCCTATATTTGTACAGTTTTCATTTTAATCCTTCATAAGACACCGATGCAGAAATTAGTGTCAAAATCAACTTTACTTTCAAGAAGGTTATCCTGGGATTGATTTGTAGATGTGTTGTGGCACTCATAGTTAAGGCGGCTATTACAATAGAACAGTCTCAGTTACTTCTCTAGCAGTGTTTAATTACAACAGAAATGAGCTAGTCTGACGCTGGAGACAGTAACGTCCAAATCCAATGCAGTAAACATTGTAACCCTGTTTCCTACATTATTACATCACATCACCAACCCAACAATGCAATCGTTACGGTAGCGTTGTATGACAGCGTTAAAAGAATGTGTTTCACGCCAGCAAGGCGGTGAGCGCGTCGAGAAACTGCGGCCGCTGTGACGTCGGCAGCGTGATTACTGACGCGTCTAACAGGTCCAGGGACACTGATGCGCCGCTCTTGCGCGCCGCTTGCTCGAATGCTGCCCCGAACAAGCTGGAAAAAGATATTCTTGTCAGTGTTTGAAACAAAAATAATGAATGTTATAAATTAACTTACCTACTTAAAAGGTATATGACATACCTAATAAGGATTATTACATGTGCGTAAAAAAATAAGGTTGTTAACACAAATCGGGTAATTTTATGTAGCATTAATTACCCCCCTGAGCGTCACTGTCTTCAGGTTGACTTTTCTGTACCCTTGGTATGTTGACTGTTGGATTATAGTACCCCTGAGATGTCAAGTGTTGTACGCTTAAGATACTGAATGCTGTGCCCAAAATGAGAGACTACAGAAGTACAGAAGAATTGACTGCTGCTCCCTCAAGACAGCTCAAGCTTTATGGCATCGTCTTACGGTGCATTAGCCGACTGTCGGTCCTTTGAGATAGACTCTAGAACCTCGTACTTACTTCCTGGGCTCTTGATCAAAGCGCGACGGGATTCCGAGTAGTAGGCACGTGGCGTCGTCTAGCGGAGCGCTAGCCAGCAAGGGCCGCGCCCTGTCGGTCCCTTGAGATGGACCCTAGGGCCTTGTACCAAAGTAAATACAAATGAGTAGGTTATTTTCATAGAACCGCATCGAGCGCGGTTTGTATGTGAACGCACACACGGACAAAATTTAACGTGGATTAGCGGGGAGTCAGTCGTGGTTGCGCCAAATTTTGTCAGTGTGTGGCGCGCTCACATACAAACCGCGCTCGGTGCGTTTCTATGAAGATAACCTACTCATTTGTATTTACTCTGCTTGTACTTACTTTCTGGGCTCCTGATCGAAGCGCGGCGGGATTCCGACTAGTAGACACGTGGCGTCGTCAAGCGGAGCACTGGCTAGTAAAGGCCGAGCACCGCCGCATGCGCTCGATGCCCATCGCGCTGCCACGCCCAGCCAATGTGGTCCGCGGACGAAGCGCGCTTCTGGTGTACCCTGGAAATGGACATGAATGACAGAAATTAATATTGTGAACGAATATTTTAATATTTTAGTGAAGCATAAGGAATTCTTCATTTACCTCTGGTTTTGGTCATGCTCCTGCGGTGAAGACTAAATGGCAATGCCAGATTTTGTATGGAAAGTGGCGTCTTTTTTTTTCGCGCGGCCATCGACCAAACTTTGTTTTTTGATTACAAAATAGTGTAATAAACCAAACTTACTATGGCATGTATACCTCTAAACTCAGTCTGAACTGAGTTACGAGCAATAGAAGTTTGATGATTTTCATACTAGATTTGCTTTTTGTGCGCAAGTTTTGTAAGAAATTGCAACAAAATATTGCGCTATTTTTTTATTGCGCTGATTCTGCTCCATACTGATGTCTGGAGCCTTTAATGGATGATATTGTTTGTTTACACATACAATCTCACTATTTTGTTGCAATTTCGTGACCCACCTCCTGCACGATGAAGTAGCCGAAGGGCCCGGCGAGGTGCAGGCGGCGCGCGCTGAGCGTGGCGTGCACGAGGCGCGCGACTGCTTCCAGCGCGCGTTGGGCCGCCTGTAGTCCCGCGGGCCCAGTGTCCCGGTGACCCCCAGTGACCCACCTCCTGCACGATGAAGTAGCCGAAGGGCCCGGCGAGGTGCAGGCAGCGCGCGCTGAACGTACACGAGGCACCCGGTGTCTTGTCTGCGTAGCCCTCGGACTTTAGCACCATGGAGTGGCGGACAGTGACTCTCCAGTGGCACAGTGACTCCACTGTCACGGTGACCACCAGTGTCACGTGACCCACCTCCTGCACGATGAAGTAGCCGAAGGGCCCGGCGAGGTGCAGGCGGCGCGCGCTGAGCGTGGCGTGCACGAGGCGCGCGACTGCTTNAAATACCGTTTGACCACGTTTGACCTAGGAGGGAGTTGCGCGATCGTAGGGCTGTCCAAAAATTAAAATAATAATTATTTATTTAGTTTTGTATGGGAAAATATTATTTATTAAATATTACGATATCCACTTTCTGACACCACTATAGTATTTATATGAGTATGTTAACATGGGCTAGTTTCGGCTCATATACCCATTTACCTAACACCCTGTATATGTACTAGAGATGAAACGGATAGTTGTTTGGCCGGATACCGGATACCGGATATCCGGCCAGCTGCTAGGCCGGATAGCCGGATATCCGGCGGCCGGATAGTTGGCCCATTGTCTCGTTGCATGTCGTGACGAGTATAGTGCCGCACAGGAGCTTCGAACGCGATCAGTGGGTCTATTAGTAGAATAGACCAGTCACACTTTTGGAAAATCGAATCCGTCCGAATAGAATGTCAGATTTTGCCACTTATCTAGGGGGCAGATCAATTCAATTTCGACTGCAATCGTGAGTGTGTGATTGAATGGCGAAAATTTAACTATACAGAGCCCCGATTACGATAATTTTTAACGTTTCTAATCCAGACGCGCTTCATCGATTCTGCGATACGATTGGTCAGCGTAATGATCAAAACAGCTGACGTTGACTGACAGCTGACTGTTTTGACCAATCGTATCGCAGAATCGAAGAAGCGCGTCTGGATTGTAGACGTTAAAAATTACCGTAATCGGGGCTCTGGTCATCACAAAAATCGGCCCACCTACGTTTTACAGGAAAATTCGTTTCTACTGACACAGTCATGGTGCCCCAACAATATTGGTGTTATTTGAAAGCCCAATAAATATCCTTAAAGAAAAACACATTTAATTTCTTAATAAACGATTAACATAAACGCGATATACAATAAATGTGACTTGAAAAAAGACCTAACTTTGGGCTCACCTCTGGGATCAATTAGACCAATTTTTATGGTTATAAAACCAAATAATGATCTCACGTGTCCTCTTTAACAGATGGATAGCGATTAATCCCACCTTAACAGTTTTAAAGCCATAAAAGTCGGCTCAAGCGTAACTACCTATTTTTTGAAGAAGTGACTCTGAATTCTTCTACAGACACATTTTTGGGGTAAAACCCTTTCCTTTAATGAAATGAAGTTTAGACCTAGGCTTTTAAATAGTGCCACTATTGGTGGGAAGTGGGGATGCATACGTTTGAAAGTGCTTGTCGCGGGGGGGTCGATCTTTGTGATGACCAGTGTAGTTGCATCATGTCATCAGACCATCAGTGAAAAAAAAATCGCCTATTTTATTTGGCAATATTTCGACATTAACAGATATTTACTATTTATCTATGTATTTGTCATTAGAGTGAATAGCCCAGAAAAATAAATTAGTTTTGAAAGGCCTTAATATGGCTTTTTTGTAACTTTTTGGACTTTAAATAAAAGCCGTCATTATTGTAAGCCATTTTATTGATATTTACCTCAAAGATTAATGTATTTCATTATATTAATAGGAAATTGACGTTTTTTTTTAATATCCGGTATCCGGCCGGATAGTGAGTTACTATCCGGTATCCGGCCGGATAGTAAATTAGGGCCGGATATCCGGCCTACCGGATAGTTGCCGGATATCCGTTTCATCTCTAATATGTACATTGTACATATGTTAAAAATACAGTGTAAACTCTTTAATAACGTCACTAAAGGGACTGAGCATTTTTGACGTTATTGAGAGTTGTCGTTGTATACAGGGTGTTAGGTAAATGGGTATATGAGCCGACACTAGCCCATGTTAACATGGTCATACAGGGTGACTTTTGTATCAGTATCCAAATTTTAATATAATAATCTATGAAGCGAAAGACAAAACACGTATTTTTTATTTTTGTATCGTCCANGCTTGTGTCGATCTCTACAGTCACAATGGGTTCCGATAACGCGTCTGGCGTGCGCAGCGTATACTGACGCTCGGACATTCGGCTGAAACTGAAACAAGAAGGAAAATTAAGCGGGGACTCCAGCATGTGTTTAGCCCTACACAATCAACCAAAACATTTCAAAATTCAACATACCTAAATGTTGAAATAAAAAAAATGTTGAATGTTGATATGTTTTTGTTGATTGTGTAGGGCAAAACCAGAGTAAATACAAATGAGTAGGTCATCTTCATAGAAACGTACCGAGCGCGGTTTGTATGTGAGCGCACGCCAATAATTCGGCGCAACTCCCCGCTAAATTTTGTCAGTGTGTGTGGCTTTAGTTGAACAAGTGGGAGAATAAGGGCCTACGCAAAAACTCGCGACTGAAACTGAAGCAAACAAACCGTTGGTAACGTGACATGAAGGAGAATAATGGTTCTAAGTGCTTAAAGCTAAAACCCGCGCGGACGCATGCACGCGAGTCTGTATCGAAAAGTAGTATGAGGATGATAAAAGTAGATGGAAACTAGCGCCATCTGTAATTGAACACGGCGTTGTCATTGGTTGGCGTAGCAGTTGCATTGACAATGTCAACTATAGTCTCGTCTGTGAGCACGTAGAATTTTTTCCAATGACCCTAAGCTACCCATCCTTATCGCTCGCTCGTAATTATGTTACTGTCGCACTCGCACACTCACTGCGGGCGCCCGTCGCACAGTCGCGACAGCAATATAATTACGCGCGAGCGATAAGGATGGGTAGCTTGGGGTCATTGGACAAAATTCTACGTGCTCACAGACCGAGCTTTAGTAACTGGTTGCTAAGATCTGTAATACGTATGCGGAACGGGCACATTTTTTCAGTCGCATGTAATGCAATTGAAGGAAAATAAATTAGCAAGTTCTACTTACCCAGTGGTAAATACGAGGCCGTGCTTGAGGAATATAGCCCTTGAGGCCTTGCTGCCCTCGTGCGCGATGGCTTCTGATTCCACCTCGCCTTTGCGCGGATCAATGATTCTGCATGGAACAAAAATGTCGAATTCAGACGTTTTATTGCACACGTGCGGTTACAATTATATTACACTTTTGTTCATGTCGGATTACTAATGTTTGGCCAAAAAACGTTTCCCAAATTATCACATCGCAAACAACGTTTCGCAAATTTTCATTTGGCAAATTCTCATTTGGCAAAGCAACTTATTGCAAACTTTTAATTCGCAAATGTTTTTTTTTTNATGATCACAGCCGTAGCCTTTGTGCTAAAAATAATCTCCCGTACTATGATAATATCAATCCTCTCTTTCCTCACACTTACCTTTCCGTTATCACTGGTACAATAGTATGTAGAAATAAAAATGTTAATTAAAATAATAATAATAATAATCATTAGACGTTTAGACAAATTCAAGTTCTTTATTTAGTGCTTTCTTCTTATGATATTTTCAATAATAAAATGTATTTAAACTATTTTCAACCTTATGTCTTACACATAGAGTTCAAAATTAATTAAAGAAAAAATACATATCATGGTAGCATGATGTGCCAGGAACTCTAAATAAATTCTAAAATAATAATCTTTACTTGCTTATGAACCAAATAGTATGAATTCATGGATAAAATAAATATTTTTTTCCGACGCGCATTAAAATTCGCCCGCTGTGTCCTGAAGAAAAATTTTTTTTCACCTACTTTTTTAAAAAGAGTACCATACAATGGTACATATTTATAATCCTGATAAATGTAGCTATCAGAACATATTTTTTTATTAGATTATCTCCAGTGGTTTAAAAGTAAACGACGTTTAATTAAAAAAATACTTTTTGGTTTTTGTGAATTTTACTCCATATTTCTCTTTTTTTGTATGAAAAGGCAAAAATTTTGTTCTAGAAATGAATTCGCCATCCTTTAATTATCCGAAAATGACACCACACTTGCCCTAATACCCATAGTTTTGAAGATATGGGCCTTAAAGTGAAGCGCGGCAGAAGGAAACTTGCCCCCCCTCCCCCTTCTACCACAGGGGGGGCTCCCGATGTCTACCGACGGAAATCTACTCAGAAGCACCCAAAGAACAACTGGTGCAAAAATGAGCCTTCTATACCAAAGTGGAGGGGTCTCCATACAAATCATTGCACTAAATTCCCTACTAATAATTTATGCCGATCTGTGACACTAAATTTCACGCGTTTGAAGCCGCGGGCAAAAGCTAATAGTAGGTAATAAATTATTTGCACTTTGCAACTTAAGTAATAAACCGATGTTACGAACGAAGTATTGTTTATTGTGGTGAGTCAATGAGTACCTATACAAGAAAGTGGAAAAATATTACACATAGTCCATTAATTAAAATTTGTGTGTTCATTATAAGTACAAGTGGTTTGAATTCAAATAGGTCAACGAACTGAATGAGGGTCATTTACCCAGTGTCTCTAACAAAGATAGAGTGACCAACTTTTAAGGAAGTCGGCAGAAAAGGGAACTATAGTTGTTCTTTATTATAAATCACAAAATAATTATGCAAACANAGCAAATACCAATTTAATCGTTTCATAGTTTATATTAAATTGTATTTCAGGAAAATACTATACAATGATTGTGTTCTTTACTAAAATTAATGCCGAAAACAGCATTGATTTATAAGATAAGCGCCCTCGATCAGCTTGCAGACATGTTGGTCTCGCTGAAAACATGTTGTCCCAAAAGCCGGTAACCAATCATATAAAAGTAAGCCCATTTTGCGTTAAATCGTCTATTGGTAAATAGAGTTTAAAACCCGAGTCAGATAGTTCTTCTCTCTGTATAACTATATGTTATATTTTGTTACTTTGACAGTTTGTAAACTTCAAGCAAAATATCATTTTGCTTTTTATCTCGGTGTTCTCGAGTTTTGTATTATTTACAAAAATGCAAGGCGATCTCATTAATTTTAAGTCTTTTATAGTTATCTGTGTATTAATAAGTTTAATTTCGCCTTTACACGCAATAATATTTCCGTACGTGTACCCGCGCTTGAAGTTGGAGGCAAAGACGTCGGGAGATGCAGGAGATCCCCTGATCCTGACTCCATACCTCAAGAAAGGCTCCATAGCAGAGGCCCAGAAACTATCGCGCGTCTCTCTCACAGACAGAGTAGGATTTCCAAGTCACGCGGGGTTTTTCACCGTCGAAGAGAAGTACAATTCGAATCTCTACTTTTGGTATTTCCCGCCAATTTCTAAAAATGCCGATGCACCCGTAGTCCTCTGGTTACAAGGCGGACCTGGTGGCAGCTCTCTGTTTGGCTTGTTTACAGAGTTGGGACCTCTTATAGCGAAAAAAGACGGTTTCGCACTTAGAAAGTATCACTGGGCTTTGAAGAACCACTTGATATTCATCGACAATCCCGTTGGTACGGGATTCAGTTACACCAACGACGATAAAGGGTACTGTTCCGATGAAAAATGTGTCGCCAAGGGACTTTATAATGCCATGCAGCAATTTTTCACTCTATTTCCTGACTTAAGGAACAATACCTTCTGTATAACTGGGGAATCATATGCAGGGAAATATATTCCAGCGTTAGCAATGGAGATTCATAATCAAAATGACAATGGTGACGATGAATTAATCAACTTGAAGTGTCTTGCAATGGGCAACGCTTACTGTGATCCGGTTCACCAAATAGACTATGGAAATTACCTCTACCAACACGGATTGATTGATAATAACCAGCTGGAAGTATTTGAGAAGTACCAAACAGATATTGCCGCTGAAATCCAAAACGAAAACTGGGAAAAGGCAGACATACTGATGGACAAACTAATGGATGGAGAATTGACTAACTTCTCTTACTTCAAATCTTATACAGGGTTCACCGACTACTACAATTTCCTAAAAACAGATAATGATGACGACATNTTGATGGACAAATTAATGGATGGAGAATTGACTAACTTCTCTTACTTCAAATCTTATACAGGGTTCACCGACTACTACAATTTCCTAAAAACAGATAATGATGACGACATGTCTATTTTCACAGATTTACTACAAAACGATAAGTTAAGACATAGTATCCATGTAGGGGGACTGCCATTCAACTCCGGTGAAGAAGTACAAATACACTTGGCATTTGACATACTTAAATCGGTAGCTCCAGACATAACTGAGTTACTTTCACACTACCGCATATTGTTTTATAATGGGCAGCTAGACATTATTGTTGCATATCCGTTAACAGAAAATTTCTTACGTAACCTAAACTTTTCTTCGGCTGAAGAGTATAAAAAAGCTACTAGAAATGTGTGGAAAGTTGGAGATGATATAGCTGGTTATTGGAAGAAAGCTGGCAATCTGACAGAAGTCTTGGTACGAAATGCCGGACACATGGTGCCCCATGATCAACCGAAGTGGGCCCTAAACCTCATAACTCGCTTCATCCAAGGCAAATTTTGACTATTTTACATGGGTTTTGGTAAAGTTACATAAAATATTATAATTTTATGATGAAATGTTTTTTTTATAATAAAAATATTATTTTTAGTTTATACATTTTATTAATTACCAAATAAATAATAGAAACTAAATCAAGTCAATTCAATTTCACGTTAACAATATCATTGATCTCTATCATTACTTTGGGTGAGTATTGTTTGAATACAATGCGATTTCATGATAGGAAATTAATTAGAAAATTGTAATTGTGATTAAAATACATTAACAATATTAAATGCTAAATCAGGCAATCAAGTATTAAAAAATATATTACACACTAATCAATGAAATCAAATTAAAATAACAAGCCATTCGATTCCTTTAATCCTATATTTGTACAGTATTCATTTTAATCCTTCATAAGACACCTGATGCAGAAATTAGTGTCTAAATCAACTTTATTCTCAAGAAGGTTATCCTGGGATTGATTTGTAGATGTGGTGTGGCACTCATAGTTAAGGCGGCTATTACAATAGAACAGTCTCAGTTACTTCTCTAGCAGTTTTAATTACAACATATGAGCTAGTCTGACGCTGGAGTAACGTCCAAAGCAGTAAACATTGTAACCGTTTCCTACATTATTGCATCACATCACCAACCCAACAACCTGTTCTGACAATCGTTACGGTAGCGTTGTATGACAGCGTTAAAAGAATTTGTTTCACGCCAGCAAGGCGGTGAGCGCATCGAGAAACTGCGGCCGCTGTGACGTCGGCAGCGTGATTACTGACGCGTCTAGCAGGTCCAGGGATACAGATGCGCCACTCTTTCGCGCCGCTTGCTCGAATGCTGCCCCGAACAAGCTGGAAAAAGATATTCTTGTCAGTGTTTGAAACAAAAATTCTGTTTAAAAGAGAAAAATGACTATGACATGCCTACTAAAGATTCTTGTGTAAAAAAATAAGTGTGTTCTTACAAAATCGTGTAACAGAAATGTCTAATTTATGCTTCCCTGCTTTTACTGGACTAATAAGAGTGCTTAATTCTTGAGGTTCTTATTGCTGTACAGAGCCCTTGATATACTGACTACTGTACCTTAGAGATTACTATAACTAGGATACAGATCCTAAACTTTCTGACTGTATTTCCTTGAGGACTGACTATAGCTAGCAGGGGCCGCCGGCAGCCCGTCTCTTGAGATAGACTCTAGAGCAAGGCTGCTCAACCTTTTGAAGAGTCGGGCCAAACGGTGGATTCAATCGTTAACGACGGGCCACCTACATTTTTGACAGCTAACTTCAGAGAGATCTTAAAGTTTGTACTGTGCTCGGCGGGATTTTTTATTTGGTGCGTTTTTTTTTCAACTGTACATGCGCAAAAGAATTTTAAGTGGCCCACTTAAAATTCTTTTGGGGGCCACATTCGGGCCTGGAGTTGAGCAGCCTTGCTCTAGAGCCTCGTACTTACTTCCTGGGCTCCTGATCGAAGCGCGGCGGTATTCCGACTAGTAGACATGTGGCGTCGTCTAGCGGAGCGCTAGCTAGTAAAGGCCGTGCACCGCCGCATGCGCTCGAAGCCCATCGCGCTGCCACGCCTAGCCAATGTGGTCCGCGGACGAAGCGCGCCTCTGGTGTGCCCTGGAAATACAGACAAATGTTATATGATAATGTGTTTGAATATAGTGAACGAGTATTTTAGTGGATGACGCGTCTCCACTACACGTCGGACTAGCGTGAGGAGTGCAGGCCAAATCCTTCATTTGCTTCTGGTGAATATTTTGGTTGTACTCCTGCGGTGAAGATCCTAGTCTCCTCCTAGTAGCTAGACGATAAAGTAGCTGTTGGGCTCCGCTAGCAGAAAGGCATCGTGCGTGCTGTCCGTAGAACCATAGAGCTTAGTGAAGCATAGTGGAGTGTCACAGTGATCCTCTAGTGTACCAGTGACACTCCAATGTCCCAGTGACCCCCAGTGTCCCGGTGACCCACCTCCTGCACGATGAAGTAGCCGAAGGGCCCGGCGAGGTGCAGGCGGCGCGCGCTGAGCGTGGCGTGCACGAGGCGCGCGACTGCTTCCAGCGCGCGTTGGGCCGCCTGTAGTCCCGCGGGCCCAGTGTCCCGGTGACCCCCAGTGTTTGATGATTTTCATACTAGATTTGCTTTTTGTGCGCAAGTTTTGTAAGAAATTGCAACAAAATATTGCGCTATTTTTTTATTGCGCTGATTCTGCTCCATACTGATGTCTGGAGCCTTTAATGGATGATATTGTTTGTTTACACATACAATCTCACTATTTTGTTGCAATTTTTTAGCAAACTTTGCGCGCAAAAAGCAAATCTAGTATGAAAATCATCAAACTTCTAATGCTCGTAACTCAGTTCAGACTGAGTTTAGAGGTATACATGTCATAGTAAGTTTGGTTTATTACACTATTTTGCAATCAATAAACAAAGTTTGTTCAAGGCCGCGTGAAAAAAAAAGACGCCAATTTCCGGCATTGTCTTTTAATGACCTGATGATGTACAGCTCACACACTGCACAATGAAGTAGCTGTAGGGCCCTTTATTCCCATCCACCCCCTTTAAGCTTGTCACTGTAGCCACTAAATTTGTGGCGTTTACCACCCCCGTGGTAAATGGCACATAATATAGTGGCAAACACCACCCCGTGGTAAATAGCACATATTTATTCCCATCCACCTCCTTTAAGATTGCCAACTGGCTGGTGGTAGCAGAATAGCGACGCATTAGGCTGTCCAAGTAACATACAGTGCCGAGCACACAGTGACTCTCCAGTATCACAGTGAACCCCCAGTGTCACGGTGACCCACCAGTGTCACAGTGACCCACCAGTGTCACGTTGAACTCCCAGTGTCACGNTTCGATTCAAAATTAAACATTCAAAGGATTAAAAAAAAAAAGGCAAGAATAGCAGCGGTGTCAATGTCTAAAGCCTGGTCGCTCGCTCGCGCGTAATTATGTTGTTGTCGCGCTCGCACATTCACTGCCCGTCGCACATTAGCGACAGCAATATAATTACGCGCGAGCGATAAGGATGGGTAGCTTGGGGTCATTGGACAAAATTCTACGTGCTCACGGACCAGGCTTTACTGATGGAAATCATTCAAGAGCACTCAAAGAACCTGATGCAAAAATGAGCCTTCTATACCAAAGGGTTTTCCATGAAATCCAGATGGGGTGGTGGGTAATAAGCTTGTGCTCGGGCGGCGACGTTAGGTACTCGTATACCTAGCTTCTAGCCTAGGGAGGGGCAAGTCATACCTGGCTTCTGCTGCAAGTCAGACTTTTTAGGTCAGATCGTTTGACCAGAGTAAATACAAATGAGTAGATCATCTCTATAGAAACGCACCGAGCGCGGTTTGTATGTGAGCGCGCCAATACGTTACGCCAATTCGGCGCAACTCCCCGCTAATCCACTCTAAATTTTGTCAGTGTGTGCGTGCGCGCCGCATACATGATGACCTACTCATTTGTATTTACTCTGGTTTGACTTTCGCTTGAAGGATCTGGAAATGTCCAGGAGAGCAGCTGTTCTCCCTTTCTCCCTCGGTACTCCCATGGGGAGGGGGGCAACTTGTGTTCGCGCTCACCCAGTGGCGGATTTACAGTTTTGCCGCCCGTAGGCTAGGGTGGGGTTGGATCTTTATTTAACTTTTATCTTCTGAAATTGAGTAAGCGTCATCTGAAATCTGCCCTCCCTAGGACGCTGTCGCCCTTAGGTCTCTGGGCGGAGACACGTGGGCGGCGGCAGCTCGTGCTGGGGCGGCGCTCGCTGGGCGGAGACACTCACGTGCTCGATGAGCCCCAGCAGCGCGTACGCCAGGTCGTGGGCCGGCCTGGGCGGCGCGTGCGGCCGCTGCAGCACGAAGGCGGCGCGCGTGGGCGGCGGCAGCTCGTGCTTGGGCGCGGCGGCCTCGAGGGCGGACAGCAGGCAGCGCCGGAGTTCCACATCCATTGAACGGTACGCCTGCCGCGCTTGTTGGAGGGGGAAGCTAGGGATTGAAAAAGAACAAGTCGTCAACATACCTCACAATGTGTGCCTCAAATGTCGGCCGTTTGGTGTAGTGGTTCGAAGCGGACTACTATTCCGGAGGTAGCGGGTTCGATTCCCGCACAGTACAAACATTTGTGTGCATGAACATATTTGTTTGTATTGGACTGGGTGTTTTATATGTATAATTATGTATGTATTTAAAAAAAAAGTATTTAAGTGTGTTTATATCCACTGTCTAGTACCCATAGTACAAGCTTTGCTTAGTTTGGGACTAGAAGCGCATTGTAAAATGTCCAAGGATATTTATTATTATTTATTATTAATGTGGGAGAACGTAAAGCTGTTCGTCAAAGTCATAATATTTAAGGCGAAGTCGTCAAGATACAGTACTGTTGGTTTAAATCTACATAAAGAAGTCATCAATATACAGGTTCCTAAGTGAGAAAATGGAGGTATGCCCACCAGATATCTGGCGAACTAGTGACCAGGGGAAACTAAAGTGACCGAAGACAATGTGTTTGAAAAGTCACTCTACAGTGTTTGTGCAGTGTGCAATAACGTCAATAGTTCTATTAATGAACCTATTATACTGTTCATTTGTAAACCTTAGACGGTTCAAAAAAGTTAATTGAATCAAATTGTCAAGCTGTATAACTGGTATAACTAAGGCTGGGTTGCACCATCTCAAAAAACACCGGTTATCGTCAAAGTTACGATCAAAGTTAGGTGGTGCAACTCAGCCTAAGCTGTACAAAAGTTCTAACCGACCGCTATAAACTCACCCCATATCAGCCAGCAGCTGCCTTAGTCTCGCGGCTCCAGCCAGCGTGTGTAACTTAAGATACGGACCGGTAGCGGGCGCGTGACGTAGCGCCGCCTCCACCGACCACGAGCGATATAGCGGCAGCCAGACGTCCTTTTCTAGCACCACGCGGTACGACTGTGGAGTTATTATAGAGGCTTTATTTATAGACGTTTTAAGGGTAGTCACTTATGGAGCTTGAGGTGCTGGCCCCATGAGCGGTATAGCGGCAGCCACACGTCCTTTTCTAGCACCACGCGGTAGGACTGTGGAGTTATAGAGGCTCTATAAGGGTGTTAAGGGCAGCCACTTAAAGTAATAGAGCTTGTGGTGAGGGCCTGTAGCCGAGGCGTGGCGTAGTGCCGCCTCTATCGACCACGAGCGGTATAGCGGCTGCCACACGTCCTTCTCTAGCACCACGTGGTACGACTGTGGAGTTATAGAAGCTTTATAGATGACTTCAAGGCTGCTTAAAGCACTGGAGCTTGAGATTTGGGCCTGTCGCCAGGGCGTAGCGTAGTGCTGCTTCTACCGACCACGAGCGGTATAGCGGCAACCACACGTCCTTTTCTAGCACCACGCAGTAAGATTGTGGAGTTATAGAGGCTTTATAAGGGTTTTAAGGGCAGCCACTTAAAGTACTGCATCTTGAGGCGTGACGCAGCGCTGCTTCCACCGACCACGAAAAAAAACAGTTGAAGTTTACATACCGCTGATAAGTCCGTGCGGGTGGGACGCATTGAAAGAAAAAAGAAAAATAACATTAGGATATTACATACATCTTCTACTATTTTATAGATGGGTTAACAATCTCGTATTAGTAGGACTCAAGTACGCCATTCAAGTATTATCTATGAATAGGTTTTAGGGATCCTGTGCGTGCACTCTGAGACCTCATAGTGATGTTTGTAAATACGAGGGACTGGGCGGGCGGGCCGCGTGCTAGCCAGGCCAGGATGTAGACAGCGAGCCAGTCACATTGGTGTCGCTAGCCAGGCCAGGATGTAGACAGCGAGCCACTCACATTGGTGTCGCTAGCCAGGCCAGGATGTAGACAGCGAGCCACTCACATTGGTGTCGCTAGCCAGGCCAGGATGTAGACAGCGAGCCACTCACATTGGTGTCGCTAGCCAGGCCAGGATGTCCTGCTTAGACAGTTCGATTTTTTCAAGTTATTTATTAATTTTCAAAATACCTCACAATGTAGGAGAATGTAAAACTGTTCGTCAAAATCATTATCTTAAAGGCGAAGTCGTCAAGATACAGTCCTGCAGGCCTAGGATGCGCGCTGCGATAAACGGTTATCACGCCCATTTTATGGATTTTCCCCATACATTTTGACGTCGATAAAGTATATCACAGCGCGCATTCCGGCTGAACAGTGTGCAGTGTAAGAGAGAATGTAAAACTGTTGGTTTAAATCTACATGAGGAAGTCATCAAAATACAGGTTTCTAAGTGGGAAAATTGGAGGTGCTCAGAAGATATCTGCCGAACTAGTGACCAGGGGAAACTAAAGTGACCGAAGGCAATGTGTTTGAAAAGTCACTCTACAGTGTTTGTGCAGTGTGCAATTATGTCAATAGCTCTAATAATGAACCTTTAGTGTTCATTTGTAAAAACCTTAGAGTTAGACGGTTCAAAAAAGCTTCACCCCATTTAAAATAATTTAAATAGAATAGAAATTGAATCAAATTGTCAAACTGTATAACTAGGCTGTACAAGAGTTCTAACCGATTGCTATTACTTACCCCATATCAGCTAGCAGCTGCCTTAGTCTGGCGGCTCCAGCCAGCGTGTGTAACTTGAGATACGGGCCGGTAGCGGGCGCGTGACGTAGCGCCGCCTCCACCGACCACGAGCGGTATAGCGGCAACCACACGTCTTTTTCTAGCACCACGCGATACGACTGTGGAGTTATAAAGACTTTATAGATGACTTCAAGGCAGCTTTAAGCTGCCTTGAAGTAGAAGATGCTTTGAGATGCGGACCGTAGCCGGAGCGTGACGCATCTCTGTCTCTACCGACCCACGAGCGGTATAGCGGCAACCAGACGTCCTTTTCTAGCACCACGCGGTACGACTGTGGAGTTATAGAGGCTTTATAAGGGTGTTAAGGGCAGCCACTTAAAGTAATAGAGCTTGGGGTGAGGGCCTGTAGCCGAGGCGTGGCGTAGTGCCGCCTCTATCGACCACGAGCAGTATAGCGGCAACCACACGTCCTTTTCTAGCACCACGCGGTACGACTGTGGAGTTATAGAGGCTCTATAGGGGTGTTATTAAGGGCAAACACTTATGCAGCTTGAGGTGCGGGCCCCATGAGTGGTATAGCGGCAGCCACACGTCCTTCTCTAGTACCACGCGGTATGAGTGGAGCGGAGTTATAGAGGCTTTATACGGGTGTTAAGGGCAGCCACTTAAAGTACTGGCTTCTGGCAGCTTGTGGTCCCATGAGCGGTACAGTGGTAGTGTGGTGGTAGGCTGGTAGTCACATGTCCTTCTCTAAGACTACGCGGTACGACTATGGAGGCTTTATAAAGGTCTTAAGGCCAGACACTTATAGAGCTTGAGGTGTGGGCCCCATGAGCGGTACAGCGGCAGCCACACGTCCTTCTCTAGCAACACGCGGTACGACTGGGGAGTTATAGAGGTTTTATAGGCGTCTTAAGGGAATCTAAATTACACCGTCAGTGTTAAACTAACCAGCTGCTAGAAAAATTTGATTACTGCCTAGAAATAATCTGTTGAGAAAAGGAAAAGTTTACTGACCGGTCAACAACATCGCTGATAATCCCGTGCGGGTGAGACGCATTGAAAGGAAGAAAGAATCATTTTTATTACAACGGGACATCACATGATCACATCACAAGTACATTAACCATTTTTGCACATAAACATAACAGTAGCATAAGAAAACACGAAGTACGCCGCCGCGTCGCCATTGCGGGATATTGACCAAGTTAGGACAATAACTTTCAGACTGGTTTCATTGGCTCCGGAGGAGTTAGTAGTTAGTCGGGTTTAGTGGAAGAGTCCCACATAACCCACTGGCCGTCCTAATCAGCGTTTCCCGGCGGAAAAAAACAATCTAGGGCTGCGCACGCGCCAAGTAGAAAGCAAGTTACATACATTAGTGTTGCCAGCTATGTGCCGGTGCAGCGTGTCAGCATCCAGCAACGCTGCTATGACCACATCTCTACTCCGCTTCAGTGAACATAACCTGCCCACTTTGGTGGAAAACGACCCTCAGTAGGGTACCGTGAAACACGTAAGTGAAGTCAAGTTAAAAACTAAGCCAGGCCAGGATGTAGACAGCGAGCCACTCACATTGGTGTCGCTAGCCAGGCCAGGATGTAGACAGCGAGCCACTCACATTAGTGTTGCTAGCCAGGCCAGGATGTAGACAGCGAGCCACTCACATTGGTGTCGCTAGCCAGGCCAGGATGTAGACAGCGAGCCACTCACATTAGTGTTGCTAGCCAGGCCAGGATGTAGACAGCGAGCCACTCACATTGGTGTCGCTAGCCAGGCCAGGATGTAGACAGCGAGCCACTCACATTGGTGTCGCCGGCCGCGTGCTGCCCGCCCGCCACGAGCCGGTGCAGCGAAGCGGCGTCCAGCAGCGCCTGGGCGGGCGGGCGCGCGTGCAGCGCCTCGTGCGAGGCCGCGCCCACGGCCGCCGCCCACAGCGCCGCGCCGCCGCAGCGCGACACTAGCCAGGCTAGGTCTAAGGCTACGCACGCGCTCTGCGAAAAATGGAGAAAATTTTTGACCAGTGGCAACATCGGTTTCGTTGGGCATAGCATGTAGCGCAGGCATACTGTAGGTGGCCGAAGATATATGTATTAGAGATGAAACGGATATCCGGTAACTATCCGGTAGGCCGGATATCCGGCCTAAATTTACTATCCGGCCGGATACCGGATAGTAACTCACTATCCGGCCGGATACCGGATATTAAAAAACTACGATAATATCCTATTAATAAAATGAAACACATTAATCTTTGAGGTAAACATCAATAAAATGGCTTATAATAATGACGGCTTTTATTTAAAGTCCAAAAAGTTACAAAAAGTCATATTGAGGCCTTTTAAAAACTTATTTCTTTTACTGGGCTATTCACTCTAATGACGAATACATAAATAGTAAAGATCTGTTAAGTTGAAATATTGCCAAATAAAATAGGCTATCTTTTTTTCACTGATGGTCTAATGTCATGATGCAGTTCAGTCAGATTATGCAGCAAGTAAACTAATTTAATTTTCGCTATTCAATCACACACTCACGATGGTAACCGAAATCGCCCGAATTGATCTGCCCCCTAGACAAGTGGCAAAATCTGACATTCTATTCGAACTGATTCGATTTCCGAAAAATGTGACTAGTCTAGTCTACTAATAGACCCACTGATCGCGTTAGAAGCACCTGGGCGCTTAGATTAATAAAGTCTAGATAGATAGTGCGTTAAAGGTGAGGCAGCTTTTAGTGAGCCGGAACGGCTCACTCGTAAACGTCACATGAACTGTCAAAGTGAAAAATTGGTAAACACGTCCGACGAATTTTAATTAATTATGACGGTTTGTGCTGTGAAAGGGTGTCTAAATACATTAGAAAAACGAAAGAAAGTGACCAGTGTTACATTTCATAAGTAAGTACTACGATTCGACGCGTATTTTGCTTGAATTTGGCTTTCAAAAATTAAACACGGGAATGATACCAGTAACAAGAAAATTTATTTCCCAATTGTTAGCCGTACAAATACACTTCCTTTTTTTATGAAATCGAGACTTTTAAGTCGGTTTATCTTATTGTAATTAGGTATTTGATTTGAATTCAATAAATAAGTAAGTACATAATGCGTTTTGTTTTTGTTAATTATAAAATATTTAAAAACGTATTAAATATTTCCCTACTTTCGGGGAAATCGCCTTCACTGTCCACACTCCCCAAGAAAATTGTCATTAATGACATAAGATTTTTGCCTCACTCTTGACGAAGCGTTTGTAGGAATACTATCCATCTAGGCTTTATTAATGTAAGCCTGTGCGGCGCTAAACTCGTCACGACATGCAACGAGACAATGGGCCAACTATCCGGCCGCCGGATATCCGGCTATCCGGCCTAGCAGCTGGCCGGATATCCGGTATCCGGTATCCGGCCAAACAGCTATCCGTTTCATCTCTAATATGTATATCAAGTTGCAATAGTCCTCAGCATCATACATCATTATGCTTTCTTTTCTTAAAAGGGACTGTCTCAAACATAATAATTACTACACTATATAGGGGGAAGTGCTAATCGTTCCTACAACATTATCAGTTTTTTTCTTCATTGCATAAAAACAATAACTCTCAATGACGATAAAAAAATGCTCAGTTTTTATGTGTTTTGTCAAGCAGATAAGGAAACACCAGTATTTTTCCAAAAATCATGTTCATCAAGCCTATCACAGTCACAGAGAAGTTTTCCTGGAATTGCATGTATAAAAAATATTTTATGTATGACACATATCAGCCCCCCCAAAGCATAGGATGTGTAGGCCAAATTCTCCACTTTCTCTGGTAAATCAGAGACATTTATCTCCTACAAAGGAGATCGAATGACCTGATTATGAATATGACACATCCCAAAAATAAAAATAAAACTTACGGGCTTCCCATAATAGGAGAACTGTGTGTAGTTGAACATGAGCGTGTGCCGGCGCTCCTCCCACGCGCGCCTCTCGCGGCGCTTCTCCACGGCTGCCTCCAGGGCTTCCATGCCGCTGCCTTGGGGCTCCTGTTCCTGGAACAACAACCATAGTGTTCAATAACAGTTGTATGATTTATAGAAGGTGGAACAGTGAGTATAGACTAATGCATTTACTTGTAACAGAACAATGAGCTATTCTATGATATGTTTAGCAACTGATTTCTGTTGTTTCTATAGTGTATTTAAATGTTCTGAACTTTAGTAATTATAAACTTGTTTTAATAGTGATTATTGGCACTAACATTCTATTCATAAATAAATATTTTAGTGTTCACAAACCAAACATTGTACAGTTTACCCATATTGTTCCATTATTTGTAAGAACATTACGTTAGGTAGGAATTTTCTAATTTATACTCTACATAAGATCCAAATTATAAACAAACTTACCTCTTCTTCATCATCTCTAAAAATGTCATCGAAATTAGGAATGTTTTCTTCAGTATCCTTATAGACTAGTCTCACCTGAAAACAATAATCCGAAAACATTAGTAAATTTTCATTTTGGGTATGTTAGCATGGTCATAAACAATCACTGGTGTTCACAAGCTAAGTTATGGGATATCTTGACCTATACAAAAAGGAATTAGCATTATAATCACAAACCTGCCCATCACTATACACATTACAAATGTCTGTGGGTTTATGCGAGTCCAACACAAAAAACACTACATCCTCCTCGGGCTGCAGGATATCCACCAGGTCTATGGTCCCGCCACAGTTCACCAGCACCACGAATTTGATCTCCTCATTGTTTTCTTCATACGCTGTCTTCAACTCCGACACACCCCCCACTGGGACCAACGTATACGATATATTATCACATTTAAACAGCCCCTGGAGGATCTTACACGCACATATCGCGTCTACGTCGTAATGCACTAACAGAAGAACCCTCTGCAACAACAAACACCAACGTTTACCCACTGAATAAAGTTGTAAACAACGAAATGATAACCTACTTCTTCATCACTTACATTTCCAAGTAATACGTTATAAAAATCATTCCTGAGGTCTTCAATGAACATCTTTGAACCGAAAGAACACCAGGATCATCAAAATATCATCTTTTCATGGTGAAAACAGGCAATTTTCGGCGAAAGAAACCCACAAATAAACACCTGCTGTCTGCGATTGTCAAAAGGTCAAACTTTAACTGTCAAATTACCGATTTCGCGCGAAAATATACGGGCGTGTTCTTGTATGCATAAGGTTCATACAGTTGCTTGATTTGATAATCGCGTGACGTCCCCATTTCAAAAACCGGGACAAAACTATCCTTTATTTTTTTATCTGAAAAATTAAACACTTCATTTTTATCAATCACTCCATCTGTGAAAACCGCATGAAAAACCGTTCAGTAATTTTTGAGTTCATCGGGAACATACAGGCGTGTGGCGGAGAACTTTGAATTATGTTGCTTGGATATGGAAAATATTTTCCTTAATATGGAGATTACATAATATTACATTCAAATTACTGTTTAACTAGTTTTATTAGGTACATCAAATAAAAAGTTGAAGAAGTCACAAATAAAGTTAAGAATTTTCTGACTCTATAAAAGAGGGTAGGTTGATTTCGGCCATGCATTTAACATTAGGTTCGAGAAAGTATTATGTGTGTTCAAAGCTTCAAATAAGATCTGTGTATCTACCACAGCTGCAGTACAATGTATATGCCTTGGATGGAAGAGAGCGCTTCATAGTGATAAGACCGCCAACCTTAATTCTATTTGAGTGTGTTAACGTGGTAAATTAAAATACAGTATAATTTTCAGTGTTATTTATTTTGCTCTTAAAACTAATTTTAAACATTTGATCGATTTTTATATGATTCGACATGATGTTGCGCTATTCTATACGCTATACTTCCGGGCCTTAGGAGGCCGCCCGACAGCGCCTGGAAATAAGATTTGATGAGCGACATGTCTGTTTCCTCTGGATACAAATAATCCTTCATCTCGTAGCAAAGCATATCCTCGGGACAATCCAAGGCTCTCAGGCATCCAGCGTATTCTGACCATAACAGTTTCCGCCACTTCACATTATGTTTTTGAGCCAGGGGCACTAATACGCACGCAGCGAACGTAGCATCCCCGTAGCTTACTGACTGGAACTGCTCCAAGAATTGCGTGTAAAAATCTTGGAAATTACTTAGTCCCATAAGATCTTTGTCGAAGTTAAATGAAGCCTTCTGTTTAAAAAGAATCTGCGTACATTTACGCAGCAGAACTTTAATTCTGGCGTCAAGAAACAATGAGCTATCACAGAGGTAGACGCACATGATTCGGCAGAATCTGTCAGTGACATCAATGTCTTTTAGAAGGTCCGAGAAACAAAGCTCGTTGAAGAGGATCCACTCTAGGCTGCAGCATATGATCAACTCCTTTTGAGCGATCGCCTGCAAAGCCGCTCTCCGTGCGTTTTCCCCAAAAACTTTTGGCGCCGTATCAACCACTTGGCTTTTACTATACAGCATAAGTATCGGCAAATATATCCAATCCCTTGGCAGTATTGGCTCCTGCCATTTTATCAGTACAATGTTGGGCCCTGTGTCCACATAATTCAAATTTATAACTTTACTGTAGCAAACTCTAATGTCGTCAACCGATTTCAAAGATCTTGAAAAGCCATCTGAATCTGACAATGAAACAAGGTTCATCAATCTTTCAGCTGTGAACCAGTGTTTGTTAAACACAACATTTCTAAATAAGTACTGCAGCTCAAACTTCTTATCGATTCTTAAAATATAGCAAAGTTTACTTGCTACTGTATAAATTAGGTCCTTATTTGCTTCTGGGATATCATTCTGTATGGCCACTTTCACAACATAGAATAAAAATTCTGTTTCTATTCTAGTGAACCAGTTATCACACAAACTTGGCATTTTACTTGCCATGCTTCCAAGATACTCAGTTAAATGTTCTATGAACAGATTCTTTACAGATTTGTCTTCAATGAGACTCAGCACTTTGAAAAGAGAACTCAAAAATGGTAATGGTGAAATGGTACTCAACACAGGTAAAACCTTTTGGACTCTATCAATAGTTGATGAGCCAAGATTCTTCAAATTCTTTGTCATGTGTAAATCCTTATTTTCTATGCCTGATAGCAAATTAGAAGATCTAATTAAATTCTTCAAGACCAATTTAAAACCCTTGGAAGAAGCAAGGTCTTTCAGTAAATTAGTTAGCAGTTTCATGGGTATATTTTCAGTCAACATCACTGTTTTGCAGCAGTCTAATGTTGAGCAAACCAGTCTCAAATGCCCACAAGTGTAAATGTCAGAAGTTGCCAACTGTGTAACCCATTTCTGAACACCCTCTTTCAGTAAGGGATATATTTGGTGCTTATGTTTGGTCAAGTTTAAGAGCATGTGACAATTTAAGAAAATGTTTATAAATTGGGTTACAGCTGCTGCATGAGTGGCTGATATTAGTGAGGAAGTAGCAAAGACGTCAGTTCCATGAATGTGTTTGTACAATGCTGTGATTATTACTGGGAACAATGATGTGGCTGATTCTAAGCCAACATTGTACTGTAGTAAATTGGTGAGAATGCAAAATGCTTCAATCTGTATCCTCAAGCCATATGTGCCATCTACACCAGAGCTTATGTATTCAGATATTGGTTTCAGAATGTCATATTTTGTTGTTAGGGCTTCACCAATCTCGCGGGACTGTAGAGACAAAACTCTCAAAAATTTCAATGCAGCTAAAATAGGTTTCCCATTGTAAACTATTTGTGGCTCAAATACAAAATTAATGCTTGTTGCAGGAACAAATTGTTTAGTGATGGTGTTCATCAAATGTTCAGTTTTGATGATAGTATCAGATGTTTGAACAGAATCTCTAGCTAGTCTAGTAATAATTTGTAGACAGTACTGCACACAGTTAAAACTGGGCCTGATAGTTTCCAGAATGTAGTAAATCCTTTGCAATATATCAGTCCTTACAAGAGCAGTTATGATGTCTATTTCAGCTAGGTGAAAGTCATTAAATTCGGATTCCTTTGATTCTAGTTCAACTATTTCTGATTTGTCATTTTCCAAGCTTGGCTGTTGGGTGCCTTCTTCAAATCCTATCAAGGCATCAAGACATGCTTCATCAACCCTGTTGCAGATTAAGTTTCTCATGGCTTTTACAGCTGGTTCTAAAATTATAGGCTTGTTCTCATCCATAGCAAATCTGATGATGAAGAATATTTTGCTCAGTGGAATCTCTATAATATCTTTGTATGTTCCCACATTATAATATTCTAGTAGGCCTGCCAATGTGTTGAGGGCCATTACTCTTTGCTGGGTAACAGAAGATCTTGAGAGTTCAACCAATTCAGACAAGGTATATCCAGGCCTATGTGGTTCTTCTCCGTGATGAAATAAGGTTTTGTTTTCTTCTGTGTATTCCATTGTGTAAGGCAACAAGTACCCTTTGAAATCAAATCTCGCTTCATAAGGCTCATCAGGCTTGGCATTTTTGCTTTCTTTGATACCTTTCATCCACTCTAATTTGTCTTTTTCTAGTGAATCAAAATGAAGCCATTTGTTGACACTTGGATGAGACAGAATATCATTTTCCCACAATGCATCATTCTCTACTTCATTGTCTGAGTCTGATTCATCCATTCTTTCGACTTTATTTGGAATCATAGTAGGCATTACCTTAGTTTCTTGCTTCTGTGATGTGCTAGGAAGGTCAAGTTGCCCCTGTGCCGAAGATTGGTTTCGCTTGGCTTTCAGGAATTCAATTAATTTAGGGTCTAAAGTAGACAGTAACTTTTGTTGCTCCTCCAATATTTCTTTCTCTGATATGTTTCTTAGAACTTTAACATTTTCATTGTGAATATCATCTGCATCTTTTGAAGATACAATGTAGCTTTTTTCAGGCAAATTGGAAGGCTTGGTGCTAGTATTCATGTTTATTTCATCAACTTCCATAGTAGATTCTGCAGTATTCTTCACACTGCTAGTGCTTGGGGCGCTTGCAGTCTTTGGAGCGGCACTTGGGTCCCATTTGGTAGGAACTGGGAAGCCCTGAGCTGGCATTGGCTTGAAGTCAAAGTCAGCTAAAGTATCCACATTTTTCTCAACTATATCCCCCAATACGGAAGGTATTACTTTTGGGAAATATACTTTATCATCTTCATCGTCGAGTTCTTTGTTTGGGGGTGGATTGTCAATGTTTTTCTCCAGAATGTCTCCCAAAGGGCTCGAGCTTTGTTCGAATCTTGCCCGCTTCTCGCCTTGTCCTTTCAATCCCTTAGACTGAGCATACTTAGAGGGCTTTCTTTCGCCAGTCTCACTTGTGCTACTTCTTTTAGTAGGCTCTGTACGTCGTAAATTGACGAATTGAGCAGACGGCTGATGATTTTGGTTTCTACTCTTTTCTCGAAGGAATTCCTCCTGCATACGCAGTATATCATCTTCATCTTCGCCTGGTTTCGGTCTTCTAATCATTTTTAGAGTAAAGGATTGTTATTTTTATAAAAATTCCATTCGTAAAAGCGAAACAGAAACAAACAGGTTATGTTTTCATGAAATGTCAGATTGACTTTGACGCACACCACCAAGAAACAAACGGAAAAGGCAAAGGCAATATGCTGAACAGCGAAATCTTCAGCATAAAAGCTATTTAGTTTTTTTTACTTTCGTCTCCAAAATATTTAAGAAACAAATTGTCAGATTGACATGTTGTAACGTCAAATGTAGTAAACAAAAGCACGTGAAAATTACGAAAAACATTATTTCTTAAAATAATTTAGTTTATTGGTCAAAATGCCGAAAACAAAAAAGACAGTTCAAAACCTCAAGCATCCTAATAGTAGGAAAACTATATCACTCGTCAAGAAGATGAAGAAGAGCGAAAAAAGGGACACCAAGAAACTTGGCACCGATATCAAGAACAACCTCATAGGCGAAAAAATTATGTGGTTTAAAGATAGGATTCCTGAAGATTGTTCAGTGTTATCCAAGGAACAAACGTTAGGGCTCATTGAACAGTACCTGTCACGTTTCGATGAGGAGTTGGAACAAATTTTGTTGAAGAATTCTATCGGTCAGAGAAAAAATCGGCAACATGCTAGTAGAGAGGACATTATTAATATTACGAAGAAAAATGAGTTAGAAGAGTTCCAGACCTGTGGCTTGGAAATGCCGGACTTGATGGATCATCAGCAGATGGAGGTTCTAAGGAATTGGAATGGGGAACTGAGGTATTTGCAGCATTTCAAGCTGAAAAGATTTGCTAGGAAACATCTAACATAATTTATTTAGTACTGGTATTATAGTTTTAAGTAAATTAAAATTTTATTTCTAACATTTGCTTCTTGTCTATCATTTATTAATACAATAATAAAAACATCTTTGTATGTCTGCTTTTGTGAGTGTAGTCATTCTAGCCTCTGGTACATTAAAGAGGGTCATGCTCTTGCAAAAGCGACTACTAAGTGACCTATTAATGATGATGAAACTTTTTGAGGGAAAAAACTTAAAAAGGATTGATATACTACCTAATAAAGAATGTGGATTGAATAACAAGTGGTTTAGGTGTGAGATATTGAAATAAAACCATCAAATTCATCAGCTAATTTATTCAATCAATAAGTATTTACACATCTCAAAATTAGAATGACATTATGGTTCATCATGAAAAAGCAATAATGAGTAGTGGAACACCAATCTTTAATTCATAAATATATACATTTCACGTCAGAACAAGGCATAACTTAAATACAGGTTGATGTTACACAAAATGAATCAGTCAACATTATCACATACAAAAATATAAAAAACCTAGAATTAACAGAAAGCAAATATTGGGTAACTAAATTCTTATTTTATGTGTAAGTAGTAAAATATTGCAGTTAAAAAAATATAAGGTTGTAAACCAAAATAATTAAACATTTAATTTTGCAACTTTTTAAGTATGATGTTTACGTTGATTAAACAACTGTCTCATAGCAGAAAAATCAACGCCATTCATAAATTCTATCTGTAAAAAAGAAACTATTGATTTATGTCCCATGAGGCAGTAACCTACATTTTCACAAAATTGCAAACAAAAATATTACACCATGAATATTTTTTTAATTTTATTTAGAGTAAAACTACTTTATTTATTATATTTTCCACATTCACTTATAAATACATTTTAGGGTTATATCAAACTTTTGAACACACAAAGCTAAATAATTAAAATAAACAATAAATAAGGTAGAACAAAATAAATATGTGGATGCTGTTTCATAAAATAATAATTATAAAGTCACTAGCTTTCCGCCCGCGGCTTCGCCCGCGTGGAATTTTGTCTGTCACAGAAAAACTTTATCGCGCGCGTCCCTGTTTCAAAAACCGGGATAAAAACTATCCTATGTTCTTTCCCGGGACTCAAACTATCTCTATGCCAAATTTCATCAAAATCGGTTGCGAGGTTTAAGCGGGAAAGCGTAACAGACAGACAGACAGACAGACAGAGTTACTTTCGCATTTATAATATTAGTTGGGATATAATAATTTAATCACTTACCTCTTTTATATTATACATAAATACCTAATACTAACATCTTATTACCAAAACACTTGAAAATGTGATAATTAGAAATAATTTTAAATGCAAAGGCAAAACAGATGTATGCAAGATGTCCAATTTATTACATTATATTATATGTATTATGTATGCAGTTCCACACTGGGTACACAATATAGACAAATATAAATAGGTACTAAAAACAAAATACCTACACTGAGAAATTATCTCATCCCTTTCTGAGGGATATTAACATGAAATTTCGAAAAAAAAATCAATATTACTATACTCATAAATATCAGTTTTTACTAAAGACCAGTTAAAGTCATATGTACTTAGACAAGGTTTGATAATGTCCCCTTTATACAAATATAATCTTTATCATTTTTATCTAAAAATGCACTTGATCTAGATTTAGATTAACTAAACATTTATTATGAATAAGTAGTAGAGATGGGTTATACTAGGTAAATTTGATACTAGGTGCACCTATTCCTAGTATTTATTAATACTCGATCCAAATACCTATTCCACCTAGTACGTAGTAATTTAGCATACTTGACGCGACTAGTGCGGACTAATCCACGTAATATGACTTTAAAATACATTTTTTTTTGAAAAGATACAACCGTAGTATGAATAATGCAATTTGAAATTGAATAATAATTCCTCCCTTCATACTTCAACAGGCATAGGACTATCAACTTAAAAGTTGGCGTATTTAAAAGATATCAATTTCATAAAAATATTTACATATTTTTTCTTGTTTACATGAATATGGTTTGACTACGTTTGTGTGCGTTTGCTTCGTCGTGCTCAAATTTTTTTGGTCAGACAGAGACGGAGTGAATCTCTACGTTCGCACATAAGCTTAGCGAGAAATACTAGGTGCGCGTAATACACGACTACGGATTACGCAATAATAACCTCTATTACTTTGATGGTAGGGTCGGAAATCGTGTAATTTATAAAATACTAGGTGGATCAAGTATTTAAAAAATTGGAATAGGTGCCGCCTAGTACTGTAAAATACCTAGTGTGTGGATCTGTTCTAGTAAATACGTGTCATCTCTAATAAGTAGCCTTTAGATAACGATTCTGATTAGAAAGTCCAAGTTGAAATTTACAAACATCCAGGAGAAATGACTAGCCAACCAAGAGATGCTTCAGAACATTAATATTAAAAGGGTATAGAATGATAGATTACTCTTAAAGAATGAAAATGTTCTCTCTTGCATATCTAATTGTTTATCACAAAGTCAATCATGCGTGACGTACAGTCAGAACAAACACACTTACGACAAAACGGTACGGTAAACACATTCCTAGCTGCCATATAATTAGAAGACTATCATTTGAAACACAAGATATAGTAAGCAGGTACAAACACAAATTTTATTAACCAGAGTCAATAATCCTACAATCCTATGCTTCTAGGCACTTGATAGTCTATTAATAAAAATACTTATTTTGTAACAAGACTATAGTTCTTACAAGCAGTATGTAGCGTAAATAATTAAACTGTTACAGTAATATTATATTCAATGTAACATATATTTCATTTATTAGTTTCTGTTTTATGTACATTTTAAAGTGATATTTTAATCTAATAGGAAAATCTAAATTGGACAGATTTAGAATTTTATGAATAGAAAGTGAAATTAGGATACATTATGAGCAAAGCATAAAATAAACAATTTCATTTATAATTATAGATTATAAAAATCACTAATATGCAATAGAATTTTATTAGATTTTATAAATAAGAATGCCTTTTGCTCAGATAACAACCTGATGCACCAATCACAATTTTACATCTTTCGCTTAATTAGAGAGCAAACTATTGGATGCCAGCACCAATCAACGTTCAGGTTTGATATTCTTACTCCTCTTTTAATTTTTATATTTCCTTCATTTTACATCTCCATTGCTTAATAAATAGTTAAACCACTAGACAAATCAGGTGAAAAGAGGGAGGTGGTAGAAGTCGTACCCTCGTTGGCCTCTAGCTGCCAGCCATATGTAAACAACGTGGTATGCTCCGGGAACAAAGCAAATCATACCTGCGACGAAAAAGACTGCACCCTGCAATCCGTTTTCTGGTTCGGCGACAGCAAAAGCGCCCATTCCCAAGAGGCCTACTCCAACGATAAGGAGCACTACAGCAGCGCACACCGTCTTCCAGTTTTCGCGGACTTTGGGATGGTTCCAGCAGTACATGGATTGTGTTGCTTCCACATACTCGTGTATAAGTGAATCTGAGTCACGGGACGTCGTGTCTTCGGTGCATTTGTATGTTTTACTGTAAATAAGAAATACATTCATGAATAATTCAGTCAAGGAACTCGATATCCTATGACTACATAATGTGTGACTGGTTTTAAAACAAGTTATTAAAATCCAATTAGTTTTGAAGTCCGTGTATCAACAGTGATGTAATGCATAGACTTGTAATACCAAACTATAAACATGCTTTATCACGCACGATTGCCATTGTTCAGGATAAGATAGCCTGAATGCGGTGCAATTAAGAACGTAGATACGGTAATAAACTTAATTCCACTGCTGAATGGACGTAAAGCGGGTCACTAAACATTGGATGATTAGCGAACATTCTCGACAATTAGAACTAATTTGCAGCGCGAAGTAGGTCTACGGGACGCGAGTAACAGCCCGGCCGACCAAGTTCAACCACTCCTGCCCCACTAAGGAAGTAAATGACTCATGAAAAGGTCAAGAACATGACAATTTCAGACAACGCAGTTTACTTTCCCGTGAAAGTTGTAGCATTATTTCACAAATATGATATCGCACAACTTGTAAACAAACCTTACCTCGATATAAAATCACCCCCATTCTTGTATTTGTTCTGTAAAGGCGAACGGTCACCCGTCGCTCCATACACTTTTATAGCTTCATCTGTCTCCTCCTCAAAGGCGTCGTCGATCGAAAAACGTTTGTCACTGTTACCAAACGGTCTCGTCATTGTTCAAGTTTAACTTTATTAGTCTGGAGATGTAAAATAAACATTACAACGTCCGCACAAAGACAAAACACAGCTGTCAATTTATCATATCAACATGCGCCATATTGATTGGGAATTGTTCAAAAACCTTTACTTACGATTTTCCTTCTTTGAACTATAAATCTTCCATAATTTTTATCCGTTTCTACATTTTAAAATTTTATCTGCATTAACTGAGAAGGCTATTAAACTGGTAAAATAAAATAATTTCAAGCATTGCAGGCACCGAATAAACGTTTTTTAAGAAATATTGTTAGTTTCAAGGAATTTTGATAAGGTATTTGAACGTTCCTGGTTCTTAGATTTTAATAATGCTACGATTATAAACACGACTTTTGTATACAATTTTCTTTTTTCATGTGGCAGCACTGACACTGGCTGACATTTGCAAAATGTCAAAAGCACATGGCTGTCTCCTGTCTGTCACTGTCAAAATATTCACAACAATCGTGCAGCAGTTCAGAATAATTGTGATTTTTAAATTTATCTAGGCTATGTGATCTTCCTATTAAAATGGTGAATAAATTGTGGTCTAAAGTTGATCCTCCTCTCTCAAAACCGGTGCTCAACTGCATACAGAAGCAGGATTTTAGTGCGATGACGCCGATTCAGGCCGCAGTTATTCCTCTTCTATTAACTTGCAAAGATGTTGCGGCAGAGGCTGTGACTGGTTCAGGGAAGACCTTGGCCTTCGTAGTGCCTATGCTGGAGATGCTTATGAAGCGGGAGAAGTTGGATGGCCCTTTACGGAAGGACTACATTTACGCTCTCGTCATCTCACCGACGCGGGAGCTAGCTGTGCAGATATTTAAGGTAAATACCGGGAATTCCTTTAAATTACTGTGTTTATAATTACTTATGAATAATCATAAGTGGGTTAACCACCATAAGGTGGTTAACCCACTTGTTAGTTACTAGCGTTCTTTTAAAAAAACGCTAGTTTTTACATAAATATTTTTACTAATGTGGGTAGTGTAAACAATTTTTATGTGCAACATTTGAAAGATGAGGTGTGTCGCAGTACTGTCCAAGTCTTACAAGTACACTGACGTAAATAACTATAAAGTTTTGGAGCGATTGTTTTGAGATAAATTTATCATGACTGATTTAAGGTAAGTGATAGAAAAAGTGAACTCCGTAACAAGTGGGTTAATGCTAGCAAGCTATAGGACATACGAGACACATAGTAAACATTGAGGGTAGGAGTATATTTTTTCTTTTTACTATCGTAACCCTCTGGCTTAATTACATTTATTGGCATTCTATAACGTGAGACATTGAGAGAAATTAACTGTTTTGTAGCTAAGAAATGAATTGACAGTCAAAAAAAAAATATTTAAAATTGGTTTATAATTTTCAGGTTATAGAGCAGTTTCTCCAAGAGCCAGAACTCGCTCACTTCACCATTTCCCTGATGGTGGGAGGTCGCAGTATTGAGACTGACGTAGAGAGCCTGAAGAATGGGGCACAGATTGCAGTCTGTACACCTGGACGGATGATGGACTTACTGACAGAGCAGAGGAACTTGAATCTGCCTAGCAGGATGAAGGAACTGGTATGCTGTTACTTATGTTAGGTTGATTAGAAAAATACTGTTTAATAATTTCAATCTACATATAATATAAAAAAAATGAATCACAAAATGTGTTGGTATGAGCATAATTCCTGACTAATTATACCAATTTTTTTTTTAAATGTTTGTTGAAGTCCAATGATGGTTTTTGCAGTGAGAAAAAATCTAATAATTTCCAGGAAAACCCTAAAAACAGCCCTTTTTTCATGCGGGCGAAGCCGCGGACTTAAAGCTAGTTTCAAATACTCAATACTAAATATTTTATTGCATCCATTATGTACTTAAAATTAGAACATTATGGGCCCTGTAAAATAAATTCAATTGATACATATTTTGAAGGTAATATTTAATAAGTAAGTTTTTGGTTTGGAAAAATTGAGAAAATCTTTCACAAAATATCTATTTACATATTTACAACTTAAAATAACTTCTTATTACATATTTCATGTTTCTTATACATAAAAAAACCTTTTTATCTCCAGGAATTCCTAGTCCTAGATGAAGCTGACAAAATCCTAGGTTTTGGCTTCCAAGGAACTCTGTCCGCAATCCTGCAGTACCTTCCGCGACAGAGGCGCACTGGCCTCTTCTCCGCCACCCAGACCAAAGACCTCCAGGACCTCATCAGAGCTGGCCTCAGGAACCCTGTCATAGTCAGTGTGAAAGAAAAACCTTCCATAAGCACACCGATTTTGTTAGAAAATTATTACGTCATCGTAGAACCTCAAGATAAGTTTTTGTTCTTATTGAACTTTATACGGAATCGGAAGATGGTGAAAGGGCTTTTCTTCCTGCCAACTTGCGCGTGCGTCGATTATTGGGCGAGTGTGTTGCCAGCGTTCTTGCCTGACAAGAAGATATTTGCGATTCACGGAAAAATGAAGCACAATAGAAACAACATATTGGAGAGCTTCAGGAAAACAGAAAACACTATTTTGCTGTGCACAGACTTAATGGCAAGGTATGTTCCTTTTGTGTTTGCTATTTTTCAATTTTCCATTATACTTTTGCAGTCAAGATTCTGTTAATGTCAGGTAGATATAGAAATAAATACATGTGCGTGTTGAGNATTGTGCATGTTGAGAAATATGTGGGTAGATACATTTTTTTTTGTTCCTTAATTTTTACATTAAGTGTCAGAAAATTTGCAAGAGATTCTGTGGAGGGTAGTTAGAAGTAGAAAGGAAAAAATGGTTGATCTTTTTTAAAGGTTTTAAATTAATGGACTTGAGTGTACAAATTTGGTGTTATTTTGTGTTCTAAAGTGCAGTGAAGTGATAAATATATCATTTAAAAACATTAACACACTTCGAATTTGAACGCGCATCGAGTGTCGTGTGGGTTGTCGTATGAACAACCCGCTTTGGACCCGATGGCGTCCTAAGTCATTGCCCAAGGTATGGGCGCGGTACGGGAGGGTGTTTTTGTGACGGTTAAAACTCGAAACATCAGCAAGCTTTCAGATCGCCTTCGCATTTGTATGTTCTGTCACGTCATAATAAGTCAATGTCGCCCTTCCCGTGCCGCTGCCATACCTCAGGCTCTGACTCAATTAATTCCATTGAGCTTGCGCAGATAACTCGATCGGGTTGTATTTCCTATTTTTAACACCAACTCCTCAACCTACTTAAATAGAAAGACACGACATTTATTATTATTATTCTGTCTAATGGCTTCAATGGTGCGAATTTGAAGCACACTGATTTGCCAATGTCGAGTGTTTAGAGAGACACGGTGGACAGTGTATTAATGAGTTACATTATGTACTCACGGCTTGACGTTTCGGCTGCTATGGGAAATAGTATTATTATACAGAAATAGGCAAAATGGAATGCGAAAGTTGAAATTCTTATATCCTTTATCTATTCTTCCAGAGGCTTAGACATCCCTCAAGTAGAGTGGGTGCTCCAATGGGAGCCTCCCACCTCCCCTGCTGCCTTTGTCCACCGCGTGGGGCGCGCGGCCCGCGGCGGCGCCGCCGGCTGCTCGCTGCTGCCGCTCCTGCCTACTGAAGACGCGTACGTGCCCTTCATCAGGACCAATCAGTTAGTGGAACTGAAAGACTGGAGGAAGTCGAAGGATGAGATTAAAATCAGTGATAAGTTGAAGGATAAGGTTTGTTGTATATTCTGTGTACATTTATTTCTTTATTTTTATAGTTAGCTTTTAGCATAATAGACTGTTTTATTTAGTTTCTTTGGAAAACTATTGTAATTATGCGCTCTTTAAAACTTGTGATTCTAGTGCTATCATTGATGCAAGTTGTTGTGTCATCATGTCGAATTACCACGGTAAATTGCTCAGTGCTCCTGCAGTGGCGTTTGTTGTAGTCGTCTGGTTTTGGCCATGTAGAATAAAACAGTCTTTTTGTGGACGCCTTGAGTCCTCCCTAACCCATCTGGCGTAAGGAGTGCAGATGCAGACCAAATCCTCCATTTGCCTTTGGTAAATTACAGAGCGATCCTCTGGCCGTGGGGACTAAACGATCTAATGATAAAGTGTTTGTTGTCTTGTGTGCCAGAGGGATCAATCCTTTTTAGCTTTAAGTATGAGGCTGTTCTGGTCATGTTTCTACTTAGCTTTATAAAATAAACATTTCTTTCCTGTCCCCACCAGGTGCTCTCGCTCCTCCACTCTCAGCAACTCCGCGATCGAGCGATCCTCGAGCGCGGCGCGCGCGCCTTCGTGTCCCACATACGAGCCTACTCCAAGCACGAGTGCAACCTCTTACTGCAGCTGAAGCAGTTGCCGCTGGGACACATCGCGGCCAGCTACGGCCTGCTGCGGCTGCCGGCCATGCCCGAGGTCTCGCAGGTGCGCCGGTGTNGTGTTGAGAAATATGTGGGTAGATACGTATTTTTTTTGTTCCTTCATTTTTACCATACATTGAGTGTCAGAAAATTTGCAAGAGATTCTGTGGAGGGTAGTTGAAGTATAAAGGAAAAAATTATTGATCTTTTTTAAAGGTTATTTTGTGTTGTAAAGTGCAGTGAAGTGATAAATATCATTTAAAAACATTAACACACTTCGAATTTGAACGCGCATCAAGTGTCGTGTGGGTTGTCGTATGAACAACCCGCTTTGGACCCGATGGCGTCCTAAGTCATTGCCTAAGGTATGGGCGTTTTTGTGACGGTCAAAACTCAAACATCAGCAAGCTTTCAGATTTGTATGCTCTGTCACGTCATAATAACTCAATGGGCGCTATACTTATACAACCCGGTCGAGTTAACCGGTACCTGGAAGCCGTGACGTCACATCGACGCTCTGGTACGGACTGGGCCAACGCAGAAAGGTGTGCGAGTGATTGCTAGGTAGAGTCGTATTCCAACGAGGTGCGCAGTTAGCTCATCATCGTCATCATCATTTCAGCCACAGGACGTCCACTGCTGAACATAGGCCTCGCTCAATGACTTCCACATCGCACGGTTTCGTCACAGCAGTTGTCAGTCAGCTCGATCGGGTTGTATTTCCTACTAGCAGCCGCCCGCGACTTCGTACGCGTAGATCCCGTTTTACCCCCTTAGGGGTAGAATTTCGTAAAATCTTTTCTTAGCGGATGCCTACGTCATAATATCTACCTGCATACCAAATTTCAGCCCGATCCGTCCAGTGGTGTGGGCTGTGCGTTGATAGATCACTATGTCAGTCAGTCACCTTTAGATT